TTTGTTTTGTCCAAATCCCACTTATAGGGGCAAAAGTGTGTCCTTGACTATAAACGAACAAGCTTTGTAGAATAAGCAATTAATTTGCTGGCTTTAAGAGGTGGGATGGCGTAAAAAAAAAAAATTCAGGCCTCAGCAACTATCTGAAGTACTTGAAATGTAACCGCAACCGAGATGAGCGCCCTGATACTAATGTTTGCGTACATCTAGTGGCTTGAAGCCCGTTTTGGAAGTCTCAACTTCGTAAGTACATAGTTGAGGTCTTTGATGCGACTTTATGTTGGGTTCAGGAACTATGATTCCTCCTGAAGTCTGCAGGAAATCACGACGCTCTGAGTGGAGCTTTCTAGTTACATGAAAAAATAAAGAAAAAATTCCGCAAGGCTTTCACATGTTTTGTAAAAGATCAAGAAAATTTAAACTGTGTCATTTTTGCCATTTAATCTCTAAAAGCATTGCATCAAAGGGTGTAAGTCTGGAGTTTGTGACAGATCCTTCCATTCAATTTTTTTTGGATCCCTTCCATCTATTTAATCAAACACTTCCTGGTTTTCATACTTTTGACAAGAATCTGTGGTCATGGTCACATTTCAAGGAGTATGAAGTTCCTGCCATTTCTCGAATTTGTACAAACTAAGACGGTTTTTTTTGGCTTTTCCTGCCCTGATATCTCCAATCTTCTCCTGCACTGTCTGAAGTCGCGCTCAAAATAGACAACTTCAGTGCCCTTTTACATCTCTAAGTTCCGAAGATATCAATTCCCCGTTTCATGCAAAACATAAGTGTCACTGCGCAACAAAGTTTCCTTAGACGGTAGTTTTGTTTCAGCGGTTTATCAGCTGTGAGTTCATAAAGCACTACGACGACTTCTTTATAACTCGAACATTTGAGCAAATAGCCGTGGAAATAAAGACGTGTAAGCTACGAAATTCCGTTGAACATCGTTGCAATTCCCTTGACTTGTTATCTGATTGGCTGGCTGCCATCCAGAAAACTATAATAAGACAAACACTGTCATGAACGAAATAGTTCAGTGTACCCAGAATTTTTTTTTTCTATCATTTTTTTATAATTACGTTGTAGGGGAGAAAAGATTGGTAATTTAACTCACGAAAATTCTCGAAATTTTAGCTGAATTGCCTAAAGGATTATATGTGATACATACAAGGCTCTACTTAGAACGTGATTTTAGTGTCATCTCTTGCGGAAACTAAGGAAATTGCCTTCAAACTCGATAAACAGAGTAAAGCCCTAAAGTAATCAGTCGTTAGAGCAGAAAAACAACAAATAAGTAAGGATGAATCTGAAGGAAGAAAATTGTTCATGACGACGAGAATTAGGATGTACTGTGAATAGCCAGTAGCAAAAAAAGTCATGCTAACTTTTTAAGAGGAGGAGACACAGACAAGGGTTACAAAATACTCCTCCGCATTTGGGCCGTTTTTTTTCCGGTTTATCAGAGTTTCATCTATCTTCTCATCAGGACTTTCCTATTATTAGTCTGTGATCTTCTGTCGCAACACACGTTTTCAATTATCTGTTGCTACTTTAAGTGCTAGAGAACTTTCCGAGCTATCAGCAATTTGATATTGTTTCAATCAACGACCTGATTCTTGAATTGTCTCATGCGAGGGGGTCGTTCGCCTACACAAAACACAGACACCAGCAAAAAGTATGTTTGAAACGCTTATTTGGCGACTACAAAAACGTTTTCAACACGAGAGCCTTTTTGCGGGTAGGTGGAGCGCTGTTGCTTCCTGCAAGACTGGAACACTTTCGTTACCTTAGATTTACCACCGAAGCCATCAGATCAGTGGGTTTTAACTCATATTGGAAAGAGGTAAATAGTAGATCTTGGATTTTATTCGGTTTGTCGCCAGCTTGGCTATTTTCAGCTTTCGCATTAGCATCTCATTTGACCTAAAGAACTTGAGACGTTTAACCATATTTAACAAAGGTATGCTTTGAATTTGCATGGTTTTGTGCCAAAGAAGAGCTAGAACTTTCCAGCTGAAGAGGCTGTTGCTTAACAATAGTAGGTTTCATTTGCGCATTTGATTTCTCACCTTCGTTCACAGGTGCTTTAAAATCATACCGTTTAGCTTTTTTCCCAATCAAGAAACAGCCACGCTTGCGATGAGATCTGTCCATGGCTCATCAATTTAAGTTTTTAACAACTCACCTCGTCCCCTCCGTAAAATGTCATTTGTGTAACAGCCTGTCTTGAAATGGTTATCGCTTTCAACTGACAACAACTCGTTCAACGGCTGAATCGTGTTCTTTGGACATATTTATCTTGAAAGTTAAGAGATGGAAGGAAATCTTGTCCATGGGGGAAAAAATATCGCAATGAAGACGCCATGAATTTATAATTTTGAGCGCGAGCTTTATTTAGACGAGAACATTTCGACTTTTCTATCATATCGTTAAGGGAAAGTTCAGCTACGTAGTCAGAAATTTGCCACGCAGAAATCGGATGTATGTATAACACTATCTATCTATCATTCGCGAAATCCTGTTTGTCGATTATTCACCCTCATTTCAAAAATATATCAAGAATTATTTGTTCTGCCTTAAACGCTTAATCTTAAGGAATATCTAGATTACGTGCTCGATATAAAGATGTTTTTACCCCATTTTGTTTTAGTTGGCGTAGAAATCTCAGAAAAAACAACATCGGATGTTTAGCTGATGAAGAGCGCGGAAAAATAAATGGTCGGTAAAAACGCTGTTTCAAAGTAACCATGATTGTTTCCTAATTGTTAAAACGCTTTTAGAAAGTTATATCTTATGATTCACGTTTTATCTCTCAATCTAACTACTGTTGTCGGATTAAACAATTATTTGAAAGGAAGAAAAAAAAGGACAAGAAAGTAGAAACGGGCAGATACAATCAATTGAAACGTCTGGTGAATTCGCGCAAGTTTTTACGTTTGGTCAAATTACCATCACGTAGATGAACGAATCTAGATTTGATTAACATCTCGCGTTCGCGGGTGACCTACGGAAAGTGACTTCCACGCGTCTTCCACGCAAGCGTTCGCGCACGTGTCCAGAAGTATTTTAGTTATCTGGCAATGTTTTTCGAATGTTTCCGTTTTCAATGGCTCACTGTTGAGCTGGTTAAAAAAAAACTATCGCTCAAGTCACGGATAAGCCAAGGGCGCAAGGTCACCGCACGAGTAATTATGCAATCTCTTGTTAATAAATTAACAAAGGAAAACCACAGGGAGGAAGTTTAAAGAAAACAAATATAGTAAAACAAATAAATTCCCAAGTGTGGCTGTACTTTAGGTGATTTAGTAAATTTAGCGTCACGCTAGCATTGCGGTGGTGGTGGTTTCATTCACATTTTTTCACAACTCGAGAAGCATCAGTGGCTGAGAGAAAGACAAAATATGCATGTTAATTTTGTGTAATCAGCGGGCTAGCAACGCGAAACTTAATACTGACGCGACAGCTAACGAAAGAAACACAAGCTGTTCAGGGTCACTTTACTCGATCGATAACACTTTGAGTTAAAGTTTAACCTTCATTTGGCGGGAATTTTTTTTTTCCTGAAATTAAGTTTAAGAATTCTGCGCAAGATATGACTGACGAGTGGAAAGTACGTAGTGGTTAGACTAAGGTCTTCGCTCTGCTTTCTCTTAAGTAACCTCTCGGAAGTGGGAAGCCTTGTCAATAGCATTTTTACTTAACTAATGTTTTGGTTTGACGCCTACTAAAGGAAAATAATTGGTGCGTCGCTTCATTGCATTTTTCTGCCACACGAGAAAAACTCAATGACTGCAGTAACAGCTATATAGCAATTTTCCTGTGCATTCGCACTAACTGTAATTTTTTTCTTTCTATTTCTGCCAACGTATTGGTCTCGGGTTTACTTTTGTTTTGCATCTGTGTCCTTTTCTGTCCCTCATGAAAAGTTTAAGCCACTTAGAAGAAGGGTCGCGGTTAAGAATCCACAAGAATTTCCGGAAGACGAAGACCCTTCAATAAATAGTGATTGATTAATAATAAATCCTCTAATTAGCTCAGCTTTTGGGCCTGCCGAGCAATCAGGACGAAGAATAAGCTTTTAATTAAGTTATAATGCAGCATAGAACTTTAATTGTAATGAAAGGAGAATTCGGTTTTTTTCTTTAATAAATCTTTAATCAGGGCAGCAAGAGAGAGCGATTGGTTTTTAGAAACAATACTCAGCGCTTTAAGTGAGACCCAATGAAAACAAAGTACCTTTGTCTTTCAATAATAATAGCTTTGACACCTTTCTTAAATGCTGCAAGTGAACAACTACAACTGAGTCAGTCAAAACATTGTTTGGTTGGATAAAACACTCTTGGCAGTTGTTTGCATTTAGGCGCCTGAATGCTAGCTTAGCTGGCTGAAACTTTTGGGAGATTGTCTGTGTCTGCATTTCCGGTGGAACTTTTGCACCCATGATTAACTCGCGAGTCATTAAACTTGCCGAATTAACTTGGTAAATCTGTTGAGTTGTTAAGTCTTCGGTTGAGCAGATCGGGCGCGCACACAGTCTGTGTTCACGGTTGTCAATCAAATCGCGTTCGAGGCTGGTGTCGTGTTACAGTCGGCCCGTAGCTAATTTTAGCGTAGATAACTTCACCATTAAGGGTAATTTTGTGTATGCGTGAGTGCATCTTGCCCTTTAAGATTGTGACATATATTTTTTTTGTTTCCCTCGAAGGTTCCTGACGTCGAGGGAGCGATTTACATGACGTTGGAGTGCGTGGAAGTTCGATCTTTAAAGACGTTTTGTTGGTTTACCTGTCGAATCGTTTCGCAAACCTGTTTGATTTAAATATGCGAGGGAAGGAAGTGTAATGTCTCGGAATCTTGAGCATTGTTGGTCGAATCATTGCGTGTCGCTCCGCAGATCTGTTACTGGGAAATATTGCAGTGTTTGGAATCTGTGTGCAACGAATTTTACCAACTTTCGCTAACATCTGACGGTGCAATTGACGATCTATAGACTGTAAACGATCATGTCTTCTCGCGCGACACAATTTGACGCCGAAACAGGGAGACCGGGTGCACGGAGCGCGAGCCAGACGCGCTCTAGAACTGAAGGAAGGTACGAAAACAGCAGAGAAGGGCGAGGGTCTCACAGAGCTCTGATAGGAACTAGTGATGTGGAACCAACGGAAGTGGGCATTTCTCACAAAAAAGCTTACGGGAAGACAAGTGAAAAGACTCAACTGCGAATCTCTAAGGCGCGCACCCATGGTAGTCATGTTCCTACTTCAACGCTAAATGAGGGCTCGCAGCAAACTGTGGACTATGTTGCACCGCTCTTATCGGGAAGAAGCACGCAGGATCATTCTCTCAAATCGAGCTCGAGTCCTTACGCTAGTTCGGGAGCAGAAAGAACGAAGTTTATGGATAACATTCCAGGGATACCAGCAAATGAACAGTTGACTCAGCGAGTCGACCGGGCCGGCCGCACGCTATTTCCGCCCCCTTCAGTCTCCAACTATGGACAAAATGTTTCTTATCCCCCTGGTCTTTCATCTGACGTGAAAAGTTTGTCTAGGGACCCGAACAACACAAGTGATTTGGTTTTCAGCAAAGCTCCAACGAACAGACTATCCAAGTCGGCCCGTATTAAAAGCCAAGAGGAAACAGAAATGCAATGGAATGCGACCCAAGAAAATAGCTATCGTCCTCGAGACGATCAGAGGGACAGACCTGCCGTGAACGAATTCCATTATCCGCGAACGTCGCGTGGAAGGCGTAATAAAGATGGCGCTAGTGTTGTTTACAACGATTTAAAATTTTCGGGATCGAACCGGCAAAATATTTCGCGACGATCGAACTCTACCTCTTATTCTGAGTCACCTACGGACAGCCAGGGATCTTCTACAGAATCTGAAAGCGATATTAGTTCATCTCCCGACACTTCGCTTAAACGCAGACGGCGCATTAGGCGAAAGCCGTCCAATAAGTCGATTGGTTCAAGTATGTACGGCGAAGACAATACCAGCGAGTCAGAAAACCAGAGCATCAGTGAATTTTCGGACACGAACAGTGGAGCGCACTCTCGTGGAAAAAGACGAGCGCAGTATGCGTCCGAAGAGCTAATTCCTTCGTCTTTTGTTAGCTACAAAGAGCAGCGAAGTGCTTCTGGCAACAAAATCCGATCGAGTAGTTTGACATCTGTAAGTTCTCTTGAGGGAGCAGGGATTACAGGGGATTTTTCTAGAATCCAGTCACCGCTGATGTCCCCGAAAGGGACGGGCATTGCCAAAGTGAGAAAGGTCCAAATCCGCTCATTTACTTCATTTGCCGATAGTCATCTTTGTGATAAAGAAAACCAACCGCAGAGGAGAAGATCCCTTGAAGAAAGGGATCCTAGCTCAAAGAGCAAAGGAAGAGCACAGACTGAGGCATCTGGGAGAGAACAGGCTAGGGTAAGACCCTCCATGACCAGGCAAGGATCAGAGTCACCGTCTCTATCCAGAAACCCATTCTGTCTCAAATCAAAGCCGTTAGGGCGGAAAACAAGTAAAGATTCACTCTTAAGCGATAGTGAAAGTAACCATAGTTATGATAAAGGGAATGTGAATTCTACTTTTGATTCAGGTGTTTCAAAGGAGGAAGAAGAGAGGTGCAATTCAGCACCTCCAGCACCTTCAGAAATTGTTACAAGGGACACTAGAGAATCCAGATTACATTCTAGTGTACCTGACAGTGGGCTACCTTCATCAAAAAGTGCATTTGTTCCTATTAAACCCAGCAAAAGAACTCACATGGACCATGAACAAGATCCATCATCAGGGACACCTGTCACATTTGCGGACTTGAGGCCAGAGAAAGGTGTTTTGAACAACAAAGATGTTATATTGCAGCCTGTGCCACGGCATGGTAATCGACCACTCTCCATTGTCCAAGAAACAGATGAATTTGTGAACCTTCAAAATGAGGATGCTTATGTTGCTGAAAATGTTGAAAAACTTTCCAAAAAGTCACATCTAACGAGGAGCCCCCCTATAAGGACTTCTCAGGACCATGCAAGAACATCGTCACCATCTCATGACGACAACATGTCAAAGTTACGGAGATTGTCCTATGTAAGGGCGCAGAAAAATGCTGCAGAACTTCCTATCCACTGTCCAGATTTAACTACCATGCAGCCACCAGACATTGATTCTAATTTGGATTCATCTCCTCTTTTAGAGAATTTTCAGTCTGCTGCTCAGTCTGTACAGAGGTTTAATGCCTATCCAAATAATGATACAAGAAAAGCTCTAAAAGAGTTTGATCCAAGTGACCCTCATGAGATCATGCAAAGTACTAGTTCTCCTGTGGTGGCAGAAGGGGATTTGATTACTTTTGATGATGAAAACAGTGATGTAAAAGAACCAGTGAAAAAGAGAAAGAAAAAAATTTCTCGACCTAAAATACCAACTATTTTAAGTGGTGAAGCAAGAGGTATGGTTGAGGAGAGTGATATGTCTTACAAGAAAGGTATGTCCAATGTAATTTTATCAATACTAAGTTATTGATTTATGATTTATGTCACATCTTTCCACAATTTAAATGCATTAGCAAGAAGTGACAATCACTAGTTAAATTCCCAGAATTAAAAGGGAGCACCAAACTAGATAACCACTAATTTTAGCTGATGATGCCACCAATCATTACTTTACTGTGATGAATGTATGAATGAAGAAATTTAAAAATGGATTGATATCCTTTAATTACAATTTGGGACACGACCACTTCAACTCTCTTCATGAGAGATCCTCAACTTGATTTTAGCAGTTCTAAGCATATTTGCATTGAGAAATCTTCAATGGTGTGGTTTGCATAATATTGAATAACACAGTAATGTAGCAGTCATTATCACTGACCGCTCCTTTCTTGCACAGAACTTTCAGACCTGTTTGATGGGTCAAACAGAGATACCATTGTGGCCCATGAAAGTGAAGAAGACAGTACTCCCAGGGCAGCTTCTGATGCAGAGGGAAATGAAGCTGTAGATTCACTTCACTTCCCAGGCAGCAAAAAGCTTGACAAAGGATTACCTGGTTCTTTGTATGACACCAAGAACACTGTTTTTGATGATGGTAGCCAAAAAGTTCCACCACATAGGAGACAATTGAAGAAAAGGGCATCTCTTCCATTGATCAAAACAGAATTCTACCAGGATGAAGTGAACATTGTTGAAGAAGCACCCAAACTTGATGTGGTGCAAGAATCACCTAGTTTACGGAAAGCAGAAACAATCACTGATCTTAGTTTGGACCAGATGCCACAGCACCTTGGGGTAATCTCATTCAACAGTGCTGATATGACTGAGTTTCAAGAAGGCAAGGGTTTAGAGAGCTGCAGTCCTCCCCTAGGGTCTGTACCATCACCGAGTCCCAGCCAAATAAGTTTTGATGCACTTTCTTTGACAACCAGTGGCTTCAGTGAAACACATTCTGACCAAGTTAGTACGGGGGATCTGAATGTTGTGGACACCTTTCTAGGCATGGATGCTACAGGCAATATGAAGTCTCTGGATTCCTGGCGGTCCCAGAGTGACCCTAGCCATGGCACCCAGTTGGAAGACACAATTGCTGAGGCAGAGCTGCAGGCACATCGTAATAGCAACAGTGAACCTAATCTTTCTGCAGAGAAATTAAAGGAGGAGGCTGAGAAGTTGGCTAAAAGGGTAAATGGTGGAAGCCAGGGTGAAACCATCCCTAAGATGCATGTCATGACAGAAGGTGATGATGATGATAATGATGATGATAAAGACACTTTGTTGGCGGAATTGAGTCCAGATGATGGGTGCTATGATCTGGAAAAACCTGAACGTCATACTAAACTAGTACCGAGAACAAAATCTGTGACAGGGCCAACCCCACATGCTTCACCAAGGCCACAAAGAGCAGCAAATTCTTTAGCTGTGGAAAAGGCTCAGGTGAAACTCAACAAACTCTCAGCAATGGAAACAATTATGGAAATGCCACATGCAGAACCCGCCATAGAAAAACCCAAAGTTGACAAAAAGCGAAGCCCATCAGTTGAAGGGAGCTGCATCTCCCCCAATTCTCCAGGGGTTCAAAAAGAGGACAAAAGAAAACTGTCAGTACCAAAAGAACCAGGAAAGTCCCAAAAGTCTAAACATGTGAGTACTGTGTTAATGGTTTTTGTTGTACATTGTGCACTGTTTCTCAGTATTTATGTTTTAAAATGCATTGGTTTGTTTGTTTGTTTGTTTTTCATGGAAAATTTGAATAGAGGAAACATTTTCCCATTAAAACAACCAGTACTGTGCTCAAGCACAGCCTAGCAGCCACAAGAGACTAACTTTTGTCAACTGATAAACTTTGCTTTCTCAAAGTGGTAACATTTGGGAACCTAAGATTTATTTGATGAAAGCCTTTCAATACTCAGTGATTTTTCTAAGAGTGCAGTCTTGGCCATTCAGGAATAGCCTGTTTAAATGAAGTTTTTGCAAGTTTTGGTTAGCCCTTTTTTTATTGAGTTTGGTTTTTATGGGATTTGGGAAGTTGCATGCCAATCTTTTAAGTTCAGCATGTGAGGAAATTCACATTTCAGTAGTATTTTCTGATGCAGTTCGCAGTGTATGTTATGATGATTTTAGTTTTCAATCTTTCCCCTTTGACGTCATATGCCAGTCAAATGTTTATCTGTTTCCATGGCAATGGACAAATGAAAGGTGCAAATGTCAATTAGTCAACTGACAATTTTGTAAAGACTTTTCTAGTATAGACATGTCATTTTTCATGATGTTCTCTATAGATCACTTAAAAATATTTATCATCACTAATTTTTGTCTACAATGAAGGTTTGACCTAAGTTATCCTCCACCAGTGTTGCTACTCATTAATGTACACTTCATATCTGTGATTTGTCTGAAAGGCAGGAATTTGTGAGCTTTTGATTACAATTTGAAGGTCAAAAGGAAGCAGGTTTAACCTGACAGAATGACAATGCAGATTTCTGCATTAGTTTTGTCATCTGTTGTGGCAAACTGATTAGTTTGTGTTTTTCCACGGTAATTTGTTGATGGTATTGTTACCCAAAACATATCAACACATTGTTGAATTAAAAGTGAATTTAGTCTTAAAATGGTCGGGAACACTTCTTCAGCTGCAGTTCATTTGATGTAGATTTGATGACCTGAATCTTCATTAAAATTTTAACAGTCTGTATACTCAAAAAATGTTAGTTATTTCATAACTTTACCTCATCTTTTTTTGTTGCCAACTTTTCAATACAATCCAGGGGGTATAAGATTAGCCAACACTCATTCAAGCATGAAACAAACACAGTTGATAAAGACAGCAAAAAAGGGAAGAGGGCTTTCAAATGAAAAGGCTGCTCTAAATTTAGAACAGAACTTTGTCTGCACACTTCAATTAAGAACTTAATAGCTCAAATTAAGACACTGTTGACTGTGTGAATGAGTTGAAATTAAATTGGATCTTAAGTGATGGGAGGGTTTGGACCATTTGTGAGTGGGAGCTAGATACATTGAGATGATAACGTGGCCTGTTTTTGAAGTCGTGCTGATTAGTCATCAAATATTGTATGAATTTTGATTGATGATGTTGATATTGATTTCCATAATGATTAAATATCTCCTTTCTGTGGTTAGGGTCTTTGTGTCAGCAAATAATAAAATTTTGTCTGTATCTTTTCTGTGTCCTGCATGTGAAGAGGTGGATTAAACCACTGGTATGAAATTGAAATTAAAAACTGTAACTGTTGAAATAAGGTTTTACCATTAACCCTTGGGATATGATCGGTTTCATGTCAATGTTATCACAATGGACACTTTGCTGATACCTTCTAGGCTGGATGAATATTGTGCAAAGTTTGTAATGTTAACACAATTAATGCAGATAATGAATGGATGCATATGATATTCCTACAGGGGTTTCCATTCAAATACAGTTTAACAAAGCTCTGACTGAGAAAATGCCTCTCGTTTATGTGGAGTGCATATAAACCCTAACTAGCTCCCTGACTGAAGAGTTCACATGCCTGGATCCTGCTGGTAATCTAGAATAGTCTCTGAAAAAAAAGAACAAAAAAAATAAAACACTCAGAGCAGCTGCATTTTCTCTCATTAATTGTTTCTCTTTTCCTCAGAAACATCTTTATTTTTGAAGAGGTGATTTGTAGCAAGATATGGCACAACCTTTTTTTGTTTGGAAAGCACAGATCCTAATGATCACTTGCATAACTGTACTTTCTATTAATCATAAATATCTCATGTATGAGAACATACAATGTCATGTCGTTTGAAATCATAGCTGTTTCACAGAAAAACCTTCCAGGACAAAAGCTTGTGATTGATCTAGGTTAACTTACTTGTACATCACATTTATCGTACAAAACCTGACAAATCAAGCAGACAAATAAACAAACAAATGATAACAAAGACAACAACATGAAAACAGTTTTTAAATCACTGAATATTGCTTTCTTTGATTTCTCAGACTAGCTCAACTTCATAACAAATCCACAAGAAAGATTTTTAAATGAAAGAGTTGTCTTGAAGGCATGTTATGGAAAGAGTTAAAGGGAAGAATAACCATAAACAGTAGTAATAGTTTATCACTTTTGAATTTCTTTTCAGGATCTGAGAGCCCATGTACTGAAGAACTTGGTTGATACTGAGATGTCCTATGTACAAAACCTTCAGTTTCTTGTTTTGGTAAGTTGACTTTTTGTTTGCTTCCTTGCTGTATGTTAATGTTAGAAGTATACATTGATACATTTTCACTAGGTTGAATTAGGATTTGCTTTTATCTTCCCAACATTGAAAAGCCTTAGTATCAAAGCTAATGAGTTGTTTTGAATTGTCTTTTTGTCTCATTTTCATTTTCCACACTTCTGTGTACTACCTTGTAGGAATCCATGGGCATAAAATTCTTTCTTTGTACACTTTCTACTCTTACAATTTTTAACCCTTAAACTCCTAGAAGTGATTAACACGTAACATCTTCCTATAACATCCAGACATTATCCAGCAAATAAGTAATGAGAATACTGAAATTTATCAGGTAGAAGTTGTTAACTTGATTCACACCAAATTCTTGAAACTAATTTACAAAGAAAATTGTAGCAATGGGGAGAATTAAAAATCAGATCCTAGGAGTTAAAGGGCATTAACTATGGGTTTCAGGCTTTTTATGGAGTTGATCCATGGCGATGAAAAAGAATTTTAATTCAACAACAAATATTGTTCACTTGCACTGAGTCATATCACTAGTAATTAGAACTTTTTTGTCCTGAAAGAAAAAATTGATGGATTTTACAGCTAAGTCTTTGGAAAGTATGGTATTTACATGTTTGTAAATGCATTTCCTGCATGGGCCATTTTGAGAAATTAATTTGCGACAAATGTACACAATGCAACAAATGAAGTTTTGAATAGAGCGAATTGCATGAAAAGAAAAGAGTTTTTCCTCGAATTTTAAGTTTTACAAGTCTGGGTATTCTTTGAGATAAACAAATCATGAGAAGAGAATGGTTCTTCCTTAGTTGGCCTTTTGAACCTACAAACAGATTATAGTTTAATTAAGACAATTTAACATCTAAATAATGCCTCTGTGCAAAGAGATATCACAAAACAAGTACCAAACTCTCCTAAAGTATGTGTGTGTGTTTATATTAAATAATGGGATACTCATAATCTTACGATTATCCGGTCTTTATGAATCTGCTAATTGCACTCATCATGGGATGTGTTTCAAGTAATTTTACTAAGAAGGTCATGATGGGTCTGAAGTGTGTTACCCTATTTTTAGATAGCAAGTTGTATTCCAAGGCATAATTAGTTCTTATAATTGACTTTGCTGAAAATTTTTCTGCAATTGCAAAACTTTTGGGTGCATGAAATAACCGTAACTGATGTCTAAATATAATCTTAAAGTTTGAATCAAATGACTCTGAATTGATTCCAAGTGGGCCAAAATACCACAGATGCCATTCATTGTCGAACACTTCAGAAGATGAAAGAAAAATAGTATTGTATTGCAAATGGACCAAAATTGAAAAGATTGTTAATGTGTGCATCAATTAGTTGAATCTCTTTTTACTTAAGTGGTCATGCAATCATTCTTAAGAATTCTACTCCTTTTGAGAAGTTTATCAAATAAATGGAAACAGTAGATCTTCATATTGGTGAACTAGAAGAATAATATTGTTTTCTTGTTATGTAGGTACCAAAGCTATAACGGTTTATTGTCTATTCTGCCCAGTGCATATAACTTTCTTTCTGTTTACAGAGAGAGATCATTGTCTCGTTTGTTTCCCCGCATGTTTTAATTTCCTGTTGACATTAACAATCCATCTTTGAATTTGTTTTGAATTGTTTTTTCTGTCATCTGTTGAAACAACAAGCTGGAGAGTGCTAAAATGTCTAAATCAATGAAAGGTGCTGAAACAAGGAAAATGGATGGATGAGAAAGTGTTGCCATTTATTCAACAAGTTCGTTTGATTGAAGTATTGTTAGATACAAATAAACTCATTGAGGGCCAGTAATGAAAAATGCACATGGCAGCTTGCATGCTTTGGATATTTTCTCATGTAGATGTTGAAATTTGTACAGATCTTTTCTGTGAATGTGTGTTACTTTTGTGAAGCTATATTTGCTCTTTTTTTGTTTTTTGTTTTCTGGCTTGTAAGCAGTGATAGCTATGTTAGTCACTATAAGTTTATACAAAAGATCTAGAAAAGAATGCAAGAAAATTTTTCTCATGAGTAGAGTGTGACGTGACAACAAATTACAAACCTGAACATGCCCTTCCTTGTTAACACTCTGCTGTTTGAACAAAATATGTTTAAGAAATTTGATATTTCCAAAAATGCGAACACAACAAAATTATTAATTTGCAAAATAAACTCCCACAAAATTGTCATGCTGCAAAGCCTGTAATTAGATCTGTGAATAGCTACCCTTGGTTTTGACCTTGAAGAGTGAGTGAAGACATACACAGACCTAATTGAAGAAGTGAAATGTCACAATTATGTCAAGTTTCATGTAGCATTATTAATTAGTGGCAAAGCATCTGATAGTGGTTATGGATTTGAAAACTTAAAATCAAGGCCCTCTTTCCTTTTCACTTCACTTGTCACATTGAAGTTGTTTTAAATACTGACCTCCTTCAACAATCTGCATTTGTTCTTTTTTGACAACAGAGCTATTACAAGGCATTAAAGAAGCAAGAAAACTCTGGGATTGTAGAGCCAGCACAAGTTGATGAAATGTTCTATCAAATCCCTGAAATCCTGTTGTGTCATGAGTTTTTCCTTCAGCAACTGCAGGCCAGAGTTTCTGAGTGGCATGACAAGCAGAAGATTGGTGATATATTTGTTTCATCTGTAAGTACCTCAACTGACCAAAACACTTATGGGGATCAATATTTTATGGCTTACAAGTTAAACCAATTCAGTTGCAAAGGGTATATAAAGATATGTAGGCATATTAGACTTTACCAAGGTCCCACCAGAGTCTCTCTGTGAGAAAGCCAGAAACATCAAGTTTACCAGGGAAACCTGAAGTCAAGTAAAGTGAGGGGCAACTTGCAACTTTTCAGGAAGAGCAGTAATACAATGTACATCTTGCCGCTTAATGTAATAAGGGAACAAGGATAGTGCAGTTAGAACACTTGCCTCCCTCTGCTTTGACTCATGGCATCCCTCTGCTTTGACTCATGGCATCACATGCTGGTTAAGTTCATTGTTGCTTCTTGTCCCAGCTCTGGGAGGTTTTCTCTAACTTTTCTGGTTTTCCTCCATAAACAAAAACAACTCTCCAACTCCAATTCAACCTGTAAACAGTCACTGGTTAGAGCTGCTAATTTATATTTATGCCACATATGCAGTTGTACCTGGGTGAACCCCCTCCCCGTGTGTTGGCATAAATCCTGGCAGTGTTGGCCAGACTTTTGCCCAGTTGTACGCTATTACTTTCTTGGTTGTACACTTGTGATGACTTCTTAACTCTTCCTCTTTTGAATTGAACAATTTGTATCAAAATAATTGTAATCAAATCATTTATTTTTAAGTAACTGAACACTTACAAGTATCTAATTTGTTGGTTTATTTTCAGTTTACCAAGTGTTTCCTGGTTGATGCATACAGTGCATTCATCAATCACTTCCTTCAAGCAAGAGCTGCAGTGAGAGTAGCAACAGTAACCAGACCAGCCTTTGTGCGGTACATGGAGGTACTATAAATTGGTTTTTTTTTTTTTTTTTGTTACTAAGTGTTTTCATCATGAATCATGTCATTGTTGTTGAAAGAGAAACTTTTTTTTTCATTCCAGCAATGCTCACGTGAGCATAAAGAAAAGCTGACCCTTCAAGACCTGATGATCATGCCTGTTCAGCGAATTCCACGATATGAACTTATACTCAAGGTAAGTACATAGAGACTCTTTAAAAATGTGTGTATTATACATGTCATGACATGCAGTAGCTAGAGTTTTGTTCTCCAGGTCTTTGTAGAAGAGTGCGTAAACAGGGATCAAATTTAAATATAATTATTTAGCTGTCAAGATTGTTTATCAAACAAGCATTTCAGGGTTAGGGCTTAGTCCAAACATTCTGCATTCATTGAGGTCCATGAGAAACATCTTTTCATTTGCTGTTACAGGATATGATAAAGCATACACCACATGATCATCCTGATCATGGAAGTCTTCAGCTTGCCCTGGGTGAGATAAAGACACTAGCAGACAGAATGAATCGAGGAGAAAAAGAGGTTGATCAAGCTGAAAGGGAAGCTGAGAGACTCCGTGATCTTGAGGCAACTATTGAAGGGATGACAAATGTAATTAACTGGCTTTTGTTTTCATTCATGGCAATATAATGCATTCTATGCAACACACTATCATTATTTTGCTTCTTTAGTCCTTGTGTGAATGCTTTTATAGCCCCCCTTTCAGTTAAGCTTCTTGTTTGACTAAAGCCTTAATGTTCTAAAAAGCTCTCCCCTTTTGATCAGCCCCCCTCTCTTTTCCCTTTCTAGATAAACAACCCATAATAAATAAACACAGGGCAATATCATAATACTGCTATAATGACATGCAAATGGGTATACCATAATATTGCTGTTGAGAAGCTTATTAGAGTGTTTGTGGCATTGTTGTCTGAGGTGTGGTGCCCTTGTGCCTAATGGACTGGACTTGGGATTGAAAGATCTTGGTTTGAACTCCTGCAGGATGTTGTGTTGTGTTCTTGAACAAAAGGCATTTCTTTCAAAGTACTTCTCTTCACCTGAGATTTGTTTTATAAATTGGTCATGGCAAGCTGTGAGGTAATCTTGATAAAATGCAGGGGTAGGGAAGGTGGGTGTAACTTATGATGAGCTAGTTTTCCATCCAAGAAGAGAAGTAATACCTTTAGTTGTTCCATGCTACAGAAACCAGGATCTTCTCTGGACACCTTTTTAAGATGTAAGGACTGAAATATTTTTTTGTGAGATAGTTGTACTGTGAAGTGTACCCAACTTGACAAAAAATATTATTCTTTATGCAGTTGGTGACCCCAACTCGTCGCTTAATAAGGCAAGACTTGGTGGCTGAGGTGGTGAGTAAATTATTCCAGACTTTTTGTCCTTTTTAGCAATAAGTATTCACCATGTTGAATACAGTACTTCTTCAATTTACAATCTGTTATTATCTTAACAGAAAGGCACAATAACAAAGAAAGACAGGTGTCTGTTTCTTTTCAATGACCTGTTGGTATGTGCAACAGTCAAGCGGAAGGCAAATGCTCTCAGGAGAGGCTCACTAAGCATGTAAGTAGACAAACTAAATACTTTATGACACATGTAATAGATCAATGTGTGCTTGGTTATCAGCTGTGTAGGAGTCATACCTGTACCTATAATTAACCCTGTAACCCTTAAGAGTGACTGGCATCTGATATCTCCTTACCATATCACCCCTGAATCAAACATTAAGGTCAGGAGAATGAAGGAGCTGATCACCCACCAAAGAAGATCTTGATTGTTAGACAAATTCTCAACGTCAGCACCTTAGGAAATGATTAGAGAATAGTATGGAGAATATGCATACTGATTTTAGGGTGTTAAGGGCTTAAACCATTTTTATTGGACAGTTATGTATTATGCCTATGCAGTTGGACTACTATTCAAGTGTCATGCTTGTGTAATTTGACCACAAGTGTCATGTGCACAAGCTCTTGTCTAAACTATTTGGTTCACCATGGCTAGAAAAGCAACTTTTGTGTTCCTTTTTCTGATTATGTTTACCGAAAGGTATTTTTCCTGGAAATTTTGTCATGGGTAAGAAGAGTTTAAACAACTGGACAGAATATTAATTTATTAAGTTTTTCAGCTTATTTTATTTGTTCAACTTGCACTGCTATTATTGTTTGTTAGATTTTCAGGTTCTGGTACTGAATTTAACAAGTACAAACTACTCTGGAAAGTTCACCTTGATGATGTTGAGATCTACAAATGTAAGTGATCAGTTAACCACCAAATACATTTGATATTCATAACTTTTCAGACCATGGTTTTCAACATTATTTGTTTGTTTAAACTTTTATGTAGCATCTCCAGAAGCACAGAGACGGAACAGTCTGGAGAGGCAATTGGAGAAGCTTGACAATGATATGTCATCACTTAGTAGAATCAGCTCCATAGCAGACACCCTGACAATCGCACACACAGTAAGTGCAGTCACATAGGGAGATTTCCAGTCAAACTATAGCAGACATATCAGAACATTGATGGTCAACACATTTACTTTGTAGCTGATGTAAAAGAGACACAATAACCTTCACTCTCAAGATCTGATTGTTGATTCTTCCCACTAGCTGCTATAAATTTCCCTTTAAATTGGTTACAAAAATTTGATATTGAATCAAGATGGTAGATGAGTTTGAGTAGTCTTATTAATTGTTTTATGGATAATGTGTGGATATTATCGGGAGAAGTTACATGTCACTCACTTCTGAGAGTTAAAGGGCCAAACAATGTAGACCTTAGTTGGAAAGGTTTACATGTTAGTTGTACTAATTATTTATTTTTCTTTTGTGCCTCATAGGTTTTGGATGGGGCTATTAGAGAACTCATGAATGAAGTAAACCGGCAGATTTCAGAGAAGCAAATTCCATTGCAACCTCCAACTTCTACCAAGCTGGAGTTACATGTCACACGAGCAGAGTCAGTGAAAAGTTAACTTTCTTTATGTTATTGTGTGAATGATAAAAACTTTGTAAAATTTAATGTATGACGTTTTTACACCTAGAAAAAAAATTGGCAGTATACTTTGGTCTGCAAGAACCTTTTATATTTTTACAACTTACAAAATTTTGCAAAGTTTATTGACTTTGTGGATAGCTCAGTACTTCTTGGAGTTGTGTTATCAAATGCTGTACTTTAGCTTGGTCAGTTGCTTAAATTTTTTGGAGTCTTCCTTTACAATTTTTTTTTATATTTGATTTCATTTTTCTCCTGTTTAGGATTTTAAATAATTTCTTCTAGGTATTTTAATGTGTAATTTTAATTTGCTTTACCATTTTAGTACTCAAGACAATTCTTTCTTTTGTTTAGGGATGATGGACCTGAGGAGAAAGATTTTCAGTTCTTGTTCTTGGAAACAGAGATAAAGAATTCTTGGGAAGCATACTTTGAGGATGCAAAACAGAAACTTGGTAAGACCCTCTAAAAGGAAGGACTTTTCAATGGGAACACACTGACCAATTCTTTTGGATATTTTTCTTTTTTTTTTTTTTTCAGCATATGCCAAAGACACATTTCCCCCAGAGTTTCAGTATTGTATTCCCATCAATAAAACAAGGAGTGGAATGCAGGTCAGAGTCAAAACATTTCTTTGAAGATTTTTTTTTTCAAAATCTTTGTAACTCTCTCATCCTATGAGGGATAGTTGGTTGTTGTTTTTGTTTTTTTACCTCTTTTCGTTGTTTTTACAATTTTGTAAGAGTTGTGCAGAAGGTTATTGGTTTAAATCCAGTTTGGAGAGCTGGATTCTTTCTTTTGTCTCACTAGGCAGTTGTAAGTTGGTGGTCAGGAGTTGAGCTTGTTTGCTGCCGGCTGCAAATCCTCTGCCCTACAACTTGATGCATTTTATTCAGTAGTATCATTTCAATGTCTTGACTGCATTTTGTGGGGAGTGGTCAATTAAAATTATGATTATCCTAATTAACCAGTTTCCACAAAACAGACAGATCACATCAAACTGACAAGTACCTCATCACTTGCCAATGATGTTGATTATAATTATTTGTGCTCAGGTTGTTAGAGACTGTTACTTGAGCTGACAACAGTGCTTTTCAACACTGAACTCATGTCAACAGTCACGCCACACGAGAGACTGAGATTTTTTTACAATTATTTGTTTTAGTTCACTTGTTCATCACCAAGCCAGGTACCTCACATGCTGGACAGAGGAAATCACAACGGCTCTGGAGATGTGTGGGTTTGTAACAGTGATGGTTATGTTGGACAAGTCTGTATACTCAGAATGGGTACGCAGATTCAGGTGAGGTCCTTAGCCTAACTTCAGTACTCTAATTAAAACATTTATTTCTTTGGTATAAAACAAATATTGTAACTAATTTTTTTGTGGGATTTTTTCTGACTGTGTGGTAAAATCGAAGGGAACAAACCATGAGTTTGAAAACTGTTAGTAAAAGTAGTAAACTTGAAGTTTGCGTTATTTTAACTAGCTACATTATTGTTAATTAGTGACTCAGACACTATTCATAATGTAAGGGCTCTTTTTAGGCGGGCTTTTGAATGAGCCGCGTCACAATTTCAAACATTTTGATAAAATTTAACAATGTTGCAATTCGCAATCCGGTTCAATCTGCTTAATCCTCGACCATTCGGGCCCATTTCAAATTAATTCTTTTCATAGTCGCATTTTTATATTTTACCAAACTAATATTTTGTAATTCCCTTCGCGCTGAATTTTTATATTACTCATTGCAGCAAACGACTCATAATGTCAGTTAAAAAAGTTTATCATAGCTCACCTGTTATTACTGTGTCACATTCTACAGCCGTTTGGTTCAATCACTGTGTGCATGTCGAGAATTCTCTGCATCTCTCCTGTGCCTGGGACGAAGTTCAGCGGCTTAGAAGCTCTCCAGTCTGAAAGCGACACAAAATCCGACACTCATTCTATCTCTATGGGAAGCGAAAAGAGCAGTAAAGCGAACACAACGCCAAAAATTTCTCGTGCCGGTTATGCTAGCGACGAAGATGTCACAGGACCTCAGAGCATCATGGCTTTTGACAGCAGTTCCGAAGACGAGGAGGGGCTGGGGCAGGAGAGTTTTCTTGGCGGGAAATTCAATGACGCAAGCTCTCCGTTTGACGTCGACGGCCGACTCAGTCCCGAAGGCAGCAGTCTAGGAACTACCGGAAGTGCGGACGGGTTGGACAGCAGCCAGGATGAAAATGTGTTTGAGTTTGAGGAAAATTACTCGAGTGGTGACGAAATAAAGGAGAAAGGATCCCGAAAACAATCGAAGCGAAGAATGGGTTCATCTCGTACCAGCGAAGATCTCAAAGACAGCTTGTCTGATATTGTGAATTTTGACACCGATGAACCATGTACAGTTTGGCTTGGTACAGAAGATGGATGGTTAGTCTCCAGACCTTTTTCATAGCCTTCTCTGTCTGAAATTTATAGCTCATTTTATTTACTAGATTAAAATAAGGAAAAAAGGAAGTTGTCACGGAATTTCACTGCTTGGAATGTCACTTAGGGCATTTTCATATCGTTTCTATCATACTTCTGATGATGAGAGGTTTTGAGAAACATTTTAGAAAAAAGAGAAGCGATATAAAAACATGACGTTTCGGCGACGACATGTCACCATTATCAAATGCAAATTATAACAAGATAGTGAACGTTATATATACAATAGTAAGTGACAAATTACATTAGAATAAACGAGGCGGGAATAAACAAAAGAATGGAAAAATATTTTAAATAAACAGTTTCGCTGGAATGGAGTCATTTTGAGTGTTCAGAGTCGGTCTCTTTTTCCTTATCAAAAGCATCTCGTAAATAAGGCACTCAAATTTTCCGTGGCATTTCTTTAAGATGGTAAAAAGGAGACGGACAGGAGGAGGCAGTCACAAAAACAACGGATCGACAGGCAGACAAAGGATAAACAGAAACACTTTCACAAGCACACATCATCATCAACAGCGACACCCAAACAACAACAGAGACTTTTGAGAAACACAAATTATCATCTAGGTGTTATTCGATTGATTCTTTCTTATGTTCTTTCTCCTAGTGTTTTCGTGTATCCGGCGAAGGAAGCTCAGAATAAGAAGTCGAAATTAAAGCTACAGCATTCCGGATCAATTCAGTGCATTTTGTAAGTACTTTGACTTTTTTTCGTACCATCGAAAATTCATACTGAGTTAGTCTTGATATCAAGTTGGGTGCATAATGTATCAAAATGATTTGGAATACCAAAAAACTTGCGTCATTTGTCTTTTAGGTATGTTGATAATCAAGTCTTCATTTCACTGTCAACGGGTGACTTGTACATTTACAGAAGACAACCTGGTAAGATTTTTAGTGGTTGGTAATTCCGCTTACAAAACATGATTTAAACAGGCTGCGGGTTAAAATTGATAACCAGAAATAACTGGAAAACATTAACACTGTGTCAAGCGCCGGAAAAGATGCGGCCGGTTTTATAGGGCGGGAAAATATGAAATCAGAGAAAGGACGCGTTTGCTTGTGATTTCTCTCTACACGACCCTTTAGAAAGGGAGACAAATCTAAATACGACTCTTTTTTTTCTACAGGCTGTGCATGGGAGGTTGGTTCTCCCGTGATGCTTCATATTGGGGAGGCGGTAGGAGTCTCATGTATGACGGCCATCCATGGTCGATTGTGGTGCGGTCTGGGATGTAATGCTGTCATTGTCAACACAACCACTTTGGAAGTCGAGGTAGGACCTAGTTCGCTTTTAAGTACTCAGAATTTTGTACTCAGGTTAATTTTTTGGGGGCTAAACTGTTTATTTATAGACTCACTAAAGCCGTGCGCCTGTGTATAGAGATGAATGCAAGTGGTCAGTGTTTCCTTGAGCCAATCATGCGTACTGTCTCGTTAAACGGTTCCAGGGATCCTTGCTTGTTGAGGTCTGACCTTCCCGAAGATTGTTTAGATAAGTTTTTAACAAGACTGCTGTAAAGAGCTTAATACTCTACATAATATTTTGTGTGAGGGACTCGGGAATTTTTGTTACTCTTCATAACCCTCAGACAAGTAAAAATCGCGAAACCCGTTTTCTTTGGACCTTTTTGCAGACTTCTTTCAACTGTAGCCTGGATAAGGACCGCAGTGTGTACCGGATGGCAAGCTCTGGTATGGGTGTGTGGATTTCACTCCAAAGCTCCGCTGCCGTCAGGTTGTTCCACGCCACACGCTATGAGTGTTTAGCTGATGTCGATGTGGCTCCACCCGTGCACAAAATGCTTCAAGGTAAATTGTGTTTGAGTTAAGGACAATTTTCAATTGGGTGTCGAAAGTAATCTGAGATTTCTTCGGTTTTCCTTTAATTCGCTTCATGTTGTTTGGTAAAGCCTCTAAAACGATCAGCGGTGAAAACTTTTCTGTATTTCTACACGCTAGGTTCCGATGCAATCATCCGTCAGCACAAAGCAGCTTGTTTGCGTGTTACCGCACTCCTTGCTTGCAAGGACCTTTTGTGGATTGGCACTAGTGCAGGCGTAGTTTTAACATTACCGCTGCCAACAATAACCGCTAGCACGGCTTCTCTTCGTAACTGCCCATCGGCGACAGCCTCCTTCCATGGACATACGGGACATGTGCGTTTTCTCACTGCTGTTGAGGCTCCAAAGGAAGGAGGACAAGACAACACCAATGATAAAAGTTCCAACAGTACCATAGGCACTTCTCCATCGAAAACAAATGGTGCGCTTCCACCTGGCACTTCCGCTGGTCGAGAAGTGTTGATAATAAGCGGCGGTGACGGTTATGAGGACTTCAGGACAAGCTCCGCTAGTGAATCCGCTGGACGAGATGACAGCACGAACCATCTCCTTATTTGGCGTGTGTAATCAGTTCGGATGGAAGTCGTGATACCTAGCCCTTTCGTTCGACAGGATGTAGTGATGTATCGCTGGCTAGTTGATTAGGACCACTTAATTAGTCAACAAGAATGGAGGATTATTGCTTCCTTTCAGGAATTATTAAAACCCAAAGAGGCGCTTTCTCAAAGCCAAATTTTTGCCACACGCGTCCAAAATTTGAACGTTATCTTCCCAAAAGAGAATTCAGAGAATATCAAAAAGTTTTTCAATAGATGACTTAAAAGTAATTTTAATTTTATTTTAGATGGTTGTAATCATCGAGTTTTAATTTTTCTGCCAATTTTTCATGAGATTGTTTTCGGTAAATTATAAACGCATTAGATTTCTTGCGTGTTGATGAATCTTGCGTATTTGTCGAAAGTAGCTGAACCGTGGACAGAGGAGTGTTACTCAGGGAGTTCGAAACCGGGACTTCTTAAAATAATTCAAAGGACACCGGATCACAGCGACAGAAGTATTTTTATAAGGCAGTTAATATTCTGTCAACTTGTACATAGCTTATCGTAAAATTTTGTGCAACTAAAGTGAACTTTTCCTAGTAACTGACGAGAAGAGGTCGTAGTAATGTTATTGCAGGCTGATTTTGTATATTTGTGCCAATTTTTCCCGTGGGGACAATTATGTAAAAGTATTTAGATGCAGCTGTGAATAAAAATTTTGATCAAGAGGCAGCTGAGCGTAGATATCCTCTGCCAATTTGAAAGTGTCACGATTTCCTAAACAGACTTACGTCAAGACTATGCGTTTGTGGAGAATCATAGAAAATGCTAACGCCCGACCCCCCTCACCCTAGCTATTTTTGGAGCAAGCAGCAACCGCTTCGCCATGGGAAGACTGGGTAAGAGACTAGTATACTCCCTCCGTGGATTACCTCTCCTGAACATCGAGTTTAGGAACTGATTGGGTGAGAAGCGCAAGTTTTCTTAACCAATAAGAAAGCGCAGTTCGGCAAAAATCAAATTACCTTCGATACTTGTAAGAGAGGCAAAGACAAATAAATCAACGAACCATAAACCGCGACATTTAAAGCTCCTTTAATGAGCAATTTAATATGTGCTGAAGTTTAAGAAAGACGTCCAGCTTATAAACTATTTTCAATCAGCTGAGAAAGGCTACTCCTACACTGCCTGCAGGTGGGTGCAGTTTATTGCGATAAATGGCGTCATCAATTAACTGTTAGATTATTAACGGATCAATAAACCCAATCAAAACCCATCAAGTCAATCTTTCAAGATGAAACCCTTTTCTGAACATGTACGAGACCACGGCAAATCTTCTTTTTCTAAACAGTCTCCAAAGACGACTTCATGTGAAATATTCAAAGCCCTTCATGCAAAAGAGTTACTAGCTTGAGTGTAACAAAACAACCAACCAACTCGTTAAACTTTCGTTTCTTTGTAATGTTTGACTTAGTCACTTCTATGCACAGAAGTTTGTCTTTAAAAGCCAATCCCACGTGCAAACCTCGTGGCAACAATATAACACCAAAGTGAAGAGAACATTCGACCTTCGTGACCCTTCCTCTATGTTTTAACCTATATACAAATCTACTGGAATTAAATTACCCTCGATGACGATCCTAAAGTTCATATGGCTCTTACGAATATAATTCATTTTAGTCACAATTTCACACTTTTAATTCTCTGTGTAGTATAAGAATTGAGCGGAAGATGAATGAGGGAAGCCTGGGGAGAGATTCGTGACCACCTTTACAGAGAAGAGGATCAAAAAAAAATTCTTGTGGAGACAAATAAATATTACGAGACCAAATCTTTCACTGAAAGGCATGTCATTTTGGTTACAGAGAAAACTTTCCAATTAGAATCGTGTGAAATTGTGACTGTTAAGATCGATGCATGAATTGCACCGGAACACATATGGTAAATGAAAGCGAAGACAAAGACAAAAAGCTCTTCATTGTGAAAACAAAAATGATGCTTGAATAGCGGATGAGCTTTTAGTGACAAATAATTAAATCTATACTCTATACATATGGGTTATCTTAATATTTAAAGACTCATCGAACAAGCTTCCTTAGTGGTAAACGCTTCGTTCCTTGGGAACTCTACACATTTGTGTGTTCGTTGAACACGGGTGGGACTCCGTCGCGATCGCGTTCCTGTAACGATAGAATCAAACAGTTAGTGATCAACATTGCAATTCCTTTCACTACGTCAAAACGATACCAAACAAACTGCTAAGAGAAGATGTAAATTAATCTCCGAGAGATATCAATTCGTTGCAATACCACTATCGTAGAAAAATATTTAAGGAAAATTCTGAGGACAAACATGAGTGAGAGCTCAACTACTTACATGCATCCTTGAGCCAGCGGAGGCCTGGGAAGCTCGGGACAAGGATCCACGGCTCGATTTTGCTGTGGGAGCCCGGGAACCAGTGGGGCTGGTCTCGCCGCGGTTCATGGATGCCTCGCTGTCCCAGCGTTCCAACTCCTCTCGTACCAGTCTTTCCATCTGATCTCGTTTCAAGTCGCGGTCACTGCGCTCACTACGATCGCTCTGTAGTCAGTAAAAGTAAGTGCGGTGCATCAGTGAAAAAAGTTACAATAGGAAGAAAGTTATTAAAAATTAACTTTTCTCAACTAGAAAGACTCTAAAATACGTAACTTCAGTAAGGTATAAAACACAAAACAAGTTCCTTCGAGGAAAACTGACTCGATTTCTACTTACATCAGCGATCGAGTCAAGCAGTTTAGCCATGGTTTCTCGTCGTTTGAGCTTGGCTTTCTCCATGGCCTCGAGTTTGACGAGGACTGCGTCAATCTTGGACACGATGCTGCCAATGGAATGTTCCATTCGGTCCACTCGGCGGCTAAGACTGAAACACAAGTAAAAGCAGGTTTGTTACCGACAAATTTTCCGGAACGTGCAAGGTTTGGAAAGTTTGACATTTGGACCGAAGTATTCTTGCTCACTACGCAATTGAAATAATCTTTACGACATGTTGGGCAAAATAGAAAAGATTTCCAACGGCCAACCATGGAAGACTTTTAATGCTGTAAATCACAAAACATAAAGCAGATCCTCACAGGCAATCCTTGTATTGAAAGGGATGTTTCCCCGGTAGCTCTTTACTCCCCTATATCGTAAACGTTTCCCCTCACACTCATAGCTTCCAGTACGAAACCTTGAAGGCTCAAAAACTTACACATTGAATTCCTCATAAGACACTCCGCCTCCTCCAGCACTGGGTCGAGCGATAGCTGAGCCTGCGCGCGCACTCAATCCACCAGTGGATCCCTCATCATCGTCGCTGTCATCGCTGCTCACATTGCTGTTTGCACTCTTTGGTCTTCCACTCTTTGTTTCCTTGGCCCGCTCCATTTCCTCGATTTCTTCGTTCAGTTCAGCCTGCCAGCGAGAATAAATTAATACAAAATAACAACCATAAACCCTTTTCGCAGTGGTTGCGTAAACGATATTTCGATTGAGTCGCGAGATCGGAATATCTGAGCAGTAAAATAGGCCAATGAGCCAACGGAAATCCGTAAAATTAAAAAGCGCAGGAAAACGCGTGGGTCTCAGTACCCATGGGTTCTAGTCTTGCATCTGATTGGTGGAAACGCAAACTTTTACAAAATTCAAAGTGCGTTAATCCTTCACAATTGAGTTTCTGACCTTCTGTCCTTCCAGATCTTCTTGCATCTTCCTCTGTTCTTCTTCATCCAGGATTCTGTCGCCGTCTAAATCGTACTTGGCAAACACCGCTTCGATTTCTGCATCAGCATGGCCACGGCTAAGAAAAGACGACACAACAAAAATCTATCTAACATTTCTGGTATAAAAGTTGGGTGAATTAGGATGTTACCCCTCATTTCAACCTTTGTAGTTACTTTCGCTCTGTTCTTCGATTCATACTGTCTTAAGTGTAAGCATTGGTGAGATAGCATTTCGAGAGTTGCGTAAAATACACTTCACTAGTTATATTAACCTCGTGACATTTTTGGAGAAGCTTTCAAATTTCAATTTACAAATTACGAATTTACAGTCAAAACAAACACGTATTTGACATATTGCGAGAATAGGACATATGGCTGGAGAATTCTAGACCTGTTCTCATAGTAACCCCGTTTAATTGAGAAAGGAATTCTAAAGAGGCGGTGTTTTCTCGAACCGTTTCCAAAGGGAAAGAAATGATTCATTACAAAAGAAATAAAAGCAGTTAAAAAGGAACTTGAAAATATAACTAAAATAAGATAGTCAAGATTCCAATTGCTTCACAACTTCAATCAAAGAGGGCGATCTTAATGACTGTTAGAGCAATAAAAATTTCACGGCATAAATGCGGCATAAATAACCCTAAGCAACTTTGAACATTTTCGCAATTCTTAAGCCTGTCGAAATAACGTGTAAAGAAATTACGTAATTTTACATGTTCATGTTGTACAGAACGTAAGAGGTTTGATGTTGACACCTGTAACAGAACCCCGCTTACTAAGATATTGCAAAGCAATTTTAGAATATTCATGAAGAGCTTCCAGCGAGGCTCTACATAAATAACCATCCAAAGAAAATAAATATAAGTGTCCACTGCAGAAGATACAAATTATCAAGGCGCTAAACATCGGTTGTGCTTACGATTTCAAGTTTGCTCTCCACTCTTCGAAATCGAGCTTGTTGTCTTGGTTTACATCGGCAGACTTCAGTGCTTTCTGGATGTCGAGGATCTTCTCGCGTTTGAAGGACAATTTGTCCAACATCTTCTGGTATCCCTGAGATAAAAATAAACAAAAAATTTAGAAAGCTGAAACCACTGCTCGTTTTGTACTCCTCAGCACTCGCAATATCTACCAACCGCGACTCGCGGAAAAACTAAACGGCTACAGAAAGTTGTGGCTTTCGAATTGATCCTGAAGCATAATTTCGGACAAAAACAGGCCACCGGGCAGTCATTGATGGCGGCAACCCGGGGTGAAAAGGAGGCGCAAGTCAAGTGTCCAATAATAAACAAGAAACATTTTACCGTTTACTTAAAAAAAGCCAATAAATGCCGACTTGCTCTACGGTTGCTCGGGAACGCTGCACGCTTGACTACTCTGTCAAAAGTATGACATGCATAAAAAATGACATTACTTACAGAAAGTTACACTTCTAAACACCTGTGCCTCTTTATTGCCGTTAATGTTTTGCCATTTGCAGGGGATAGCGTAATGAAAATATTCTTACCGAGGCCATTCAGTTTCGTGTTGAGCCAACCCAAGATTACATAAAAAGACGCGAAATTCATAATTCTCTCTTTTTTGGTTACAGTCACGGAATAGAAAATAAAAACTTGATTTATAACTCGCCATAGAAGTTATTGTGCGTCGGAAAAATCTCACACGGCGCCAAACAAAAAGAAGCAAAATACACAATAGATGAACGAAATAAATAATCTTTTAGGAAGCAGTGCATTCAACGAGAAAGCCAGACAGCTTTATTTATTATTAACAAAATGTCTATAACCCTTGGTTGAAATCGATAAACTGTAGACGAGTGGATCTGCTTGTCAAAGGAAAGGGAAAAAACGAAAGAAAAAGAAAAAACAGAAAAAAAAAAAAATCGAGGGAAACAAAAGAAGCTTGATACGTCCTTAGATGTTCTCATAGTTTTTTTTTTAAATCACAAACGGAAATTTAACCAACGCCAGAACCACATTTACTTATGATTACGTAACCATTCTTCAATCGTTCAATCGCGCATTAGTTTTTATGAAATAACCGCTATTTTTACAGTTTGTATCGTGTGCATAACCGGATAAAATTACAACCAAGTCAAAATATCAGAAAAAGCAAGGAATGGCAATATTAGGAATGTTGTACAGAATACTTCTAATTGATTCTTCAAAATGATTTGCGATTTGCAAAATTTAAAGTACTTCACCGATTATTTTCTCTCTTTAACTTTTCTTACGAGGAAAGAGGACAGGAAGAAAAAAATTACTCTTCGAATTCAGTTCACTCACCTTAAAGCAAAATGCAGAAAACGAAATCTTACGGACCATAATCGTAGAGTACCCACGAGTTCAACTTTGAAGTATTAATTTGACAACAAGAGAAAATAGACCCATTTAAAGCATCCAATTATGTGCATTTAGAGTAAGTATAGTCACCTTAGCACAATCTCTTAATCTTTTCCGGAGAATTTTGCTTTTCATCCCTATATTGAAACGCCTCCAAGTGTTCCTTTCTCTTAACATTTACAAGAGATGTAATATTACATAATCAAACGGACTAACGTTAAATACGCTGATTTGCTTTTTTTTTTTTTTTTTCCGCGGGTTCCCAGCGCCGCCAAAACGATAGTGCAATACGAGAAACTCAAAATATTTGGTTCATTCTCGGCCTAACAACCTGCTATTTGCACGAGTGACTTAGAGCTGAGGAAACAAACAGTCAAAATAATGGCGTTAAACAAAGAAAAAACTTCACAGGTTCTTATACCGTGGTAAACCCCAAAACAGGAACAGGGGAATACAGACAAATACCACAAAATCCCCGGGAAGCAAGTATCTAAGGATGGGGTAGTTTAAAACTTGAAAAATTTAAGCTGCATCACTCACGATGCAAAGGAGGTGAGTAAACTTTTAGGTGTCAAATTATCGGCTACCACAAAAAAAAAAATAATAAAAAAAAAAAAAGGAATTGTGCACCATTTACCTTCTTGAAGTAGTCACCGATCTCGAACTCGCTCTTCTGGTTGGCGATGTTTGACTTGACTTCAGCGTAAGTATCATTGATGATGGCCAAGAACATGTTCAGCAGGACGAAGAACACGAAGAACACGTAGGTGATGAAGAAAATCGGTCCAAGTACGCGGTTGGCTGCCTCGAGGGCGTGGAAGTCAAAGTCACCAAGGATTATACGGAACAGCGTAAAACTAAAATAAAAATTTATAAAAACCTTGCGTTAATTAAAAACCGTCTCAAAACACAAATTTTTAGAGAAAAAAAAAAGTGGTAATTCGCTTGTGTGACGTTAAAAAGTGCATCAGATCATAGAAAGTATTAGTGCGCGTAGGAGATTGCATCTATAGTTGCCCATCACTAACTACGCTTTTCCCAGTTTCAGTAGCACGATTGCGACTCCCCATGGAAGGGATGCTCATCCATCACATCACCCTTTTGGGTGGAGAGGGGAACTGTAAGTGTTAAATGTCATGCTCAAGAACACAACACAATTTACTGCCTTGTGCTCAAGCCCAGACCTCTGGATCCAGAGCCCTGCACACCAACCACAAGGCAATCGTGGCTTTCGCGTCGCACTTTACGGTAAGGAAGTGTTTCTCGCGCGCCCGCCCAGCGGAAATTTGGCAAAGAAAATCATATCTTACATGGCGTCCTCGAAGGTGCTGAAGTCCCGAACTTGAGTACCAAAGACCAGGTAACCCAGCTGCGCGTAGGCGAGAAAGATGATGAAGAACATGACAGCAAAGCCACCAACGTCTTTGGCGCACTGATGGAAAGAAGAAATGTTTAGAGTCAAGGTCTACGAGCTAGGTTTCGCTGTGAATGAAGTAGTAAAACTACAAAAGAATATCACCATACATTGTTCAGCGTTGCTGACAACTGAGTCATGGTCTTGTTGAAGCTGATGTACTTGAAGACCTGTCAAAAAGATACAAAAAAAAATCAACTTAAGAAAAGGTTGCAGGTATTATTTACAAGAAAATGCTGACCAAAGCGTTAAGCCCAGGAAACTACAATGTCGACAGAAAGGGCGAGAAAATGCGTCGCCGGAGCAATGTGAGGCATAAAATTGCACTTTGCTTTCGGAAGCCATCACGAAAGCACCCACCTTGATCCAGGCGAAAAACACAGCCACGGCGACCATGTTGTTGAACTGTGTCTGCCAGAAGCCGAGAGATTCAAAGTTTGCATACTGATTGTTGTTTGCCAAGAGCGTCTCCAACAAGTCGCCCACTTTGATTGCTCGGTAGACGTTGAAGACAACTGCTACGTATCCAAGGAAGATCACAATTACATCCAGCACGTTCCAGAAACTCTTGAAGTACTGCAATTTGTGTTTCGTGATCTCAAGGATTTCTTCTATGGTGTAGTATATGATGAAAAGGATGAAGATTCCCTCGCAGGCCATCACAAAGTAATCGAAATCGGTGACGTAACGAATCAGCTTCACTGTGCGGAAGTTGAATGATGGGATCACACCTCCTGTGGCTGGGAACTCCAATACCAATCTGGGAGGGGAGAAAGGGGAAAAACTTGTTATTGGTGTGGGTGATAAAATAAAATTTCGAGCGCAATGTGGAATAAGTAAGCACTAGTATATTTTTCAGAGACTAGCGTGTATCGAGATAACGCCTTCTTTCTAATGGATATTTCTTCGCTTTTCATAACCTGCTTGCTAGATAATATATTAGCGAATTCGAGTCTAAATCACTCATGGGACTGAAAGGATTAAAAACCTTCAAGGGCAGAAACAACTTACTTAATGATGCAGAACAAATTGATGTTGGCATTGTAAACGGTGAAGTCCATAAACACCGCTCTTGTTCCGCGGTCAAGCCACAGGTTTTGCTGGAAGAAAATTTCACTTTTAGAGCTCATTTCGATTGCATGTTGTGAACTAACACCAAAGTAATTACTACAGCCAATCAGATTAAAAGAAATATCCCAAGTAACCAATGAAAACTCAAAGTAGAAACAAGCAATCTACTTGAAGCGCGGGAAAACACACGTGACCAAGTAGCATTTGTTTTTAAATTGCATCTGATTAGCTAAGAGGTGGTGCGTGTTTTCTGGACCAATCATAGAGCTAAAGGAAGCCAACCGAAGCATCGCTACTCTCCCCTTAATGAGCTGCTGATTCACTGCAGCCAAGTTTTTGGCCAAGGTTGTTTTTATATAATTCCTCTTTCTTACATATGTCTAACTCAACAATCAGGCACCTCTGACTTCTAGACATGAGCAAACCTCTCCATTTTTGTCAAAACTTCATCTATACTACCGATACCTTTTCCAGGATTTGAAACTAAGTTACTTTCAAAATTTCATTGCACTTTCAAGAGTTCGACTGTTTTTAAAAACTCTGTGTGTGACTGCTTACCTTTAAGTCGGCAATCTTCGATTTTGTGGCTGCCCTTTTTGGTTCCAAAAGCATTGTGAACCCACCTCCACTGTACGAGGTAATTCTCCCCCAGTGTGATCGGCCGTCTAGTTCTTTCTCTGTCTTGTATTCCCATCTGTGTTAGAGAAGAGGATGTTTGATTCTACCTGTAAGGGCTATCTTTCTCAAAGCTTTACCGCTTCCTTCTTGTGATTGTATACTAAATAAATACTATGTTATTGATTGATAAATAACTTAGAATTTAGCTATAGCTCTTTGCCTACCCTTGTCTAAGTGGAAATTAAAATTTGGAATGTTGGTTTTTGGAAAGGAAAATGTGAGAACCCATTAGGAAAAGGATGTTCACGTCCTACATTCACTGTACAAGAAGAGATCACTTACGCAGATCCATTCCCCACACCAAACGGGTCTTGGTCTTCTATCCCAGGGGCATAGGGTGCATAACAGTCCTTGATAACACTCTTGAAATCATCATGAACACTGAAATCAATAAACACAAGAAAATTGCACAATCTGATGAAGTACACATTTCCAATTCAAAACATTGTTCCCGAATTGGACACACCTTCAAAGGTATAAAACTTATGATGATTGTGGCACAAAAAAAAAAAACCAAAAAAAAAACAAACATGGGCAAATCTCTACAATCTATCTATGCAATATAAACCCACTCAAAATATCTATTTATAACTACACCTACTAGGGGGAAATAATTGTTCTTATAGTCCACAAATATCCTTATTGAAATGCTCCACAGTTTTTCCAATAGGCCCACAATGTTGTTAATGATTGAATAAGCACTGGCCTGGAATTTCACAATTTTTTTTTTTGTTCAAAAAGAGAAGTTCAATTCATAGAAAGATTCTTTGGTATCTCAGAAGTCCAGATTTGTAAATGCTATGTTGAAATGTCTTATATGTTTAAAAAATATTCTTAAAATGTGATCTTAATTGTTCTGATTTGGGAAATATATGGTACGATCATTAAATATTTTATCATTTACAATTTTATTGCAAAGTGATAATAAATAAAATGCACTGCACTTACACACAAGAATCGTTCTTCACTCGGAGTTGTCTCAGGCGTGGTCGTCCAAGGATTTTATTCTCAAAGTAAATAAAACCGAGATCTTCTTGTGATACATTTTTGCCATTGTAGTACTGTTCCCAGTACAATCCATCTGCTAGAGGGCCATCTGCATACTACAACAATGGAACAAAGAACAACTTAACCCTGACTAAAACCTAACTTCTCTAAACAACATCACCCAAGGTGGGTTAAGATAACCCAGGGTTAGTGTGAAATCTGATTTCAGATTTGAAAGCTTAAATAAAAAAAAGATTCAGTACCATCCCTTTTGTCTACAATTTGACAATTGGAAGTATGCCTTACATGAATTTAAGAACTTATCCGAAAAAGGCTTTTGAACAAAAGGAATAACAAAACTCAATTAAAATTTAACCTTGGGTTAGTGCTAATTGGACCAGGCCCTGAATCACACATAAAGGTAATGGGAATAAAGGAAATGATGACCAAGTAAAGAAGCTCTTGAAGTTTATACAAATTCTCCTTGTCAGCACTTTAGGAAATATATGAAGAAGATTATGCAGAATATGCATACTGATGTTAAGGTGTAAAGAGTTGTAGGCTGGGGTAAGGAATTCATAAGTAATTACCTTTGATATAACACATGGAATCAAATCATGGAAGGTGACTAAAATAATCTATAATTTTGGACAAACTGTTGAGACAACTAAGTCAAATACAAATTTATTTTCAATCCAGACTCATGCATCCTATTATTCCTGTAAACTTTCCTCTTTCAATGTTGTTTCAGCATGCCTTTCCTTCCAAAACATATTTTCATGACAGATAGAGCAACATTATCTGGTGTTGGGGATTTTAAATTGTGCCCCTTCAATGACACTGCTTAGTAAAACATTTCTCTCTTGAGTTCATAAATTCCATAGTAAATAACACAAGCCATGAGGAAAATACACAAACTGATATGGAGAGAGTAACCAAAAAAAACATGTGAAGTAGTAGAATTACACATCAGAGTGAGGAGAGATCAGAATTGACGGCATGATATAAGATTGGGAAAGGAAGGAAAAAGAATTGAAATTATTTACTGTTTCGTTTAATAAATAGGCGTTGCCTCGTGTTGACAGATTTATTCGATGACAAGAATCGTGATTGACATTAATTCAATAGATTGATTTAAAAGCGTTAGATTATTATGTTTAAGTCAGTTTTTCAGCAGAATCGAAGTGAGAAAGAAGTTATTTTGTTATCGTTTTTCTGTCTCTAAATCCGCTTACCTGGAGAATCTGCTAACCCGTAAAGTGAGACTGTTGTAACGACCCGCCACAGAAGTAAGTTTATATTGAAGTTTTTGAATTCAGTTACAAGATAAAGACTTGATTTGCGTTTGTTCTAATTGCGAATTATAAATGTATTTCTTTTAGATCGAATAATTATTAAAGCTTGGCTTAATATTATACGGTTTGTGGTGGTCACTTGATCTAATCAGTTCCGAGTAAGGAAACATTACATTCGATTTCTGGGTTGTAACGAAGAACTACGCAATCCTGAGCACATGGCGGAGGAAGCCCTGAAAACTGCCAAAACTGATCGGAGGACTGCCAAAGGAACGCTCACACGCTGTGGAAAGTCCTTAGCGAAGTTAATAGAAGCGAAAAGACCAGAGCAAGAGGTAAGAGATGGTCTAAGTAAACTGCAGTTAGCCTTTGACAATCTTGTGGCGAAGCATGAAAATTATTCGCGTTTAATCGAAGATGACACTGAGTTCGAAGTGCAAGAGGGATGGATGGGGGAATGCCAAGAAGACTTTATGTCAATGGAAATGGACGCAAAAATATATTTGGATTCTTTCTTCAGTAAGGAAAAGGCCCCGATGAAAACTAATCATACATCTACAGCATCTAAAACGAAAAATAGTGGTGTTGGTGAGCCGGGAAGTAGTGGAATTCTGAATATGCAAATAGAAGAAGACGCGCTTAGTGTAAGTTCTGGCGATAATGATCATCCAATCAATCCAATTAGCACCCATCAAAGTACAAGTTCCGGTAATGATAATTTCACACCAGACCATGAAGGCACATCCGTTGTTTCCGGACATGAAGTAAACCCCAATGCTACAACCGGCGCCTGTGGTTTTAAGATGGAAAAGCCAAAGATGCCTAAATTTACCGGAGACGTAAGAGATTATGCCATTTTTCGCGCCGATTTTAAGCACGCGATAGAATCGAAATACAGCAAAAGAGATGCAATAACTTTTCTTCGCACATGTCTGCAAGATAAACCATTAGAGTTAATCAAAGGGATAGGTTCGGACTATAAGGCAGCGTGGGATTATTTGGACTCTATTTACGGAGATCCAAGGTTCGTGTCCGACACCATCACGCAAGACATAGTAAAGTTTAGAGCTCTGCAACCAGGAGAAGATGCAAGATTTTGCGACTTAGTCCATTTGGTTAAACGAAGCTTCAACACTCTGAAGGAGGTCGGAAGTCAAAATGACATGGACAACAGTCACATGCTATCTATCATTGAGCAAAAATGTGTTCGGATGATCGAAAGGTTTGGTCACGAGACTTGGAGCGTCAGGGAGAAAAAGCAACTTTAGAGCGACTGATGAAGTGGATGGACGTAGAGATGAAATCACGTATGCGTGCTACTGCTCCATTGAGATCTAGCAGATCAGTCTATGCCTTGCAGGTCGAAGCTCCCAACCAGAAGTGGTACAAATGCTGGTACTGTAAAAACTCGTCCCATTGGCCAGATACATGCCCTAAATTCGCTGCCCTCGGTATCGACCAACGTATAAAAGTCGCCAAAGAAAACCATGTGTGCTTTAGCTGCATGAAAGCAGCCGGAAGAGAACACCGAGTTGACAACTGTAGGAGACGTAGAAAGTGTACGAAAACCGAGAACGGAAGGGAATGCATGCATTTTCATCACCCGTTGCTTCACAAGAGCACCGCAGTCAAAGTTGGCGTCGCGTCACTCTCCGAGCCACATGAAACTCTTTTGCCGGTGGTAACATGCAAAATTTACGGTCAAAATGGGTTCCAAAAGCAAAGCAACACTCTCCTTGACTCGGGAGCGCAGATCAGCCTAATCCGCGAAGAAACAGCAGCTGCACTGGGACTCAAAGGAAACGACACCGCCGTAACACTTACCAAAGTGGGAGGAGAAGAGGAGACGATCAAGACCAAAGTTTACAAGTTCCTGTATCATCAATAGACAACACCGAGATGTTCTCAATCAAGGCAATTGGAATTCCGCGCATTAGTGAGGAAGTGTCAGCAGTCCCGCTTAGACCGATCGCCAAGCTTCTTGGACTGGAGAGCGAAAGGATACGCAGAGGCAATGGTCCTGTCGATTTACTAATAGGAATCGACCACGCCCAGATGCATACTGGACAGACCAGGCAAACTGGACAGCTAGTTGCAAGAAGAACACCTCTAGGATGGGTAGTTTTCGGTGGACCGTCAGGAGAAACACAAGTGAATGGCCGCGTCTACCATGTAAGATTTGCTGCATCGGTAGAAATGTCAGATTTTTGGAAGACTGAGGCAATGGGAGTAGAAGTTAAACCGTGTGTTTGTGAGGCTGACAAGCTAACGCAAGCCGAAAGAGAGGAAGCAGAAATCATTTCCAAGTCGTGTGAAAAGGTGGGCAAGCAGTGGATGATACCTTACCCCTGGAAGAAAGACCCCATGCTGTTGCCGGATAATAAGCCATTGGCGATGAAACGGTTGGAAAGTACGGAGAGACGCCTTAAGAAAGACCCAGAAAAAGGAGTGGCTTATGACAAACAGATGGAAGAAATGAAGGAGATGCAGTTCTCAAGAAAGCTGTCCAGAAAAGAAATGGATAATTACAAAGGCCCGGTGCATTACATCCCACACCATGCCGTTATTCGACCTGAGAAGAAGAGCACACCCGTACGAATCGTCTTCAACTCCTCTTCAGTCTATCAAGGTCACGCACTGAATGATTATTGGCTTAAGGGGCCTGATTTGTTGAACAATCTGTTTGGAGTAATCTTGAGGTTTAGAGAAAAAGAAGTAGCAGTGATGGGTGACATATCCAAAATGTATCACCGTATACGCATCCCGGAAGAGGATCAACATGTTCATCGGTTCCTGTGGAGAAACTTGGAAACGGAAAGAGAACCTGATGTGTACGTAAAAACAGTCCTGACGTTTGGTGATAAGCCAGCGCCTGCCATGGCTCAAATTGCGTTAAGAAAAACAGCTGAAGAAAACAAGAAGGACTACCCAGAAGCAGCCGAGGTGCTCACAAAGAATTCCTACATGGATGATATTTGTGGTTCTGTAGACACTGTAGCACAAGCTCAGAAGTTGACAAGAGATCTAGACAAAGTACTCGACAGTGGAGGGTTTGGCGTGAAGGGCTGGACGTCGAACAAACTTCTAACCAAGACAGAAAATCAGGAAAATGAGTTCAAGATGTTCCAGGAAGAAGTTGAAGAAAAGGTGCTTGGAGTGATTTGGAATTATGTTACAGATGAGTTCAGCTTCAAAGTTAAAGTGGATTTACTGTGCCTGACAGATTATTCAGTAGACCGTGGAGTAAAGATGACCAAGAGAACTCTTCTCAGTCAAGTTGCCCGCTTCTACGATCCCATTGGATTCGCTGCCGCATTCGTCATCAGAGCCAAAATAGGTTTACAAGAACTGTGGCAGATTGGTCTTCACTGGGACGATGAGCTTCCATATGATGTAAAAGATAAGTGGATCCAGCTCTTCAAGGAAATGAAGGAACTTGACCGGATTGGTTTCAAGAGGTGTCTGATTCCACCCGAAACTCCAGAATTACCAGTACTGTGTGTCTTCTCAGACGCCTCGCAAGAAGCATTTGGGGCCTGCGCGTACATCCGCCAGAAAACGAAACAAGGCACCTATGAAGTAAACTTCGTTGCCGCTAAGTCTAGAGTGGCACCCCTAAAGCAACTAACAATTCCACGCCTGGAATTACAAGCAGCCGTTCTCGCCTCCCGCCTCGCGAAAACGATAGTGAAAGAGTGTACGATTCAATTCGCCGATGTCAAATTCTTCACTGACAGCAGCATCACACTTGCCTGGATTCAAAGTCCTTCCCGCAGTTTCAAGCCGTTTGTCTCAGCACGGATCGGGGAGATCCAGAATAACTCGGACCCAAGCCAGTGGAAGCACATTCCCGGTGAAGAAAACGTAGCAGATGATGTCTCGCGAGGATTGCATGTAAAGCAGCTTACGGGTAGATGGATGAACGGCCCGGAATTTCTAAAACTGCCAGAGGAACAATGGCCAGTACAAACAGCTACACTGCAACAAGAAGGAGATATGGAGCGTCGCCACGTTAATGCTGTCACTACAGTCCCGCCTGCAGATGTCGGAAATGTAATCGATGTGAAGAATTTCTCCAGTTGGCGAAAACTGATACGAGTTACCGCGTGGATAAGGCGATTAACAGAGAAGATACGCCTCAGAAGAAACACACTCAGCGGACGAGAAGGACCTCTCATGCCTGAAGAGTTAAAGAAGGCTGAGATGTCATGGATCAAAAGTGCTCAAAAGGATTTAAAGAGCCGAATGAAGAATGGAGACTTCAAGACATTAAGCCCATTTATAGACGACAAGGGGATCATCAGGGTCGGAGGAAGGATTGACAAAGCAATCGTGTCCTACGAAGAAAAACACCCAGTGCTGCTTCCCAATGAGCACAGAATATCCCTGTTGATTACAAGCCATATGCACAACCATGGGCATCCTGGAGTAGCAACCACGACTGCAAAAATAAGACGAAAATACTGGATCTTGAAGGCGAATAAGCTCAGTAAGGCTGTGAAATTTAAATGTGTTTCTTGTCGAGAAATGGCACACAAGGCAGAGACGCAGTTGATGGCAGACCTGCCAGCTCTCCGTTTAGCACCGCAAACGCCTCCGTTCTACTATTCCTCGTGCGATTACTTTGGTCCATACAATGTGAAGATAGGGCGCAACAAGACAAGAAAGCACTATGGCGTCATCTTCACGTGCTTAAACACAAGAGCCGTCCATCTGGAACTAGCTGTTGACCTATCAACAATGGAATTTATCCAGGTGCTAAGAAGGTTTTTCTCTATCCGTGGATACCCGGCAGTGCTATTGAGCGACAATGGGTCACAAATGGTTGGCGCAGAGCGGGAATTGCGCGAAATGGTCGAAGGTTTAGATTCTGACAAACTCCGTGATTTCTGCGCTGAAAGAAGTATCAACTGGCTGTTCACCGCTCCAGCTGCCCCTCATCAGAACGGATGTGCTGAGGCACTCGTCAAAAGTTGTAAGCGTGCTTTGAAGAAGGCAATAGGAGAACAGGTTCTAAGTCCGTTCGAGTTATACACATGTCTGCTAGAAGTTGGAAATCTCGTTAATCAACGCCCGATCGGCCGTGTTCCAAATGACCCGGATGACGGCAAATATTTATGCCCGAACGACATGCTTCTTGGAAGAGCAACACCGGAAGTTCCTCAAGGCCCATTCAAGACACGAAAAACCCGCGACGCCGTGTAGAATTTGTGCAGAAAATTGTGGAGTCATTCTGGAAACGTTGGAGCAGAGACGTACTGCCAGCGCTAGTGATAAGGAAGGCATGGCATACAGAAAGGCGAAACGTTCAAGTCGATGACATTGTAGTCATGGCGGACAACAATGCTATCCGAGGTAAATGGACCATCGGCAGAGTAATCGAGGTGTATCCCGGGACAGATGGCCGAGTCCGTAATGTCAAAGTAAAAACACCAGCCGGAGAATACAGCCGCCCAGTCACCAAGATTGCTGTTATATATCCTGCTGAGGGATACGACTAAATAAAATTAGGCTGACTTCAAGAAGGATAAGGACTACGCCCTTATCGGGGCGGAGAATGTTTCGTTTAATAAATAGGCGTTGCCTCGTGTTGACAGATTTATTCGATGACAAGAATCGTGATTGACATTAATTCAATAGATTGATTTAAAAGCGTTAGATTATTATGTTTAAGTCAGTTTTTCAGCAGAATCGAAGTGAGAAAGAAGTTATTTGTTATCGTTTTTCTGTCTCTAAATCCGCTTACCTGGAGAATCTGCTAACCCGTAAAGTGAGACTGTTGTAACGACCCGCCACAGAAGTAAGTTTATATTGAAGTTTTTGAATTCAGTTACAAGATAAAGACTTGATTTGCGTTTGTTCTAATTGCGAATTATAAATGTATTTCTTTTAGATCGAATAATTATTAAAGCTTGGCTTAATATTATACGGTTTGTGGTGGTCACTTGATCTAATCAGTTCCGAGTAAGGAAACATTACCATCCAGAACTCCTTCATGGTTGTAATGTCCTTGAATGTATTTCTGTTTGACATTGTGGTCTCAACAAACAAATCTGTGTAAAAGATTGTATATAAAACACATTAAATTTTTCACAGACTTGAGTCAGCCAACAACAAAATTATTTGAAATTCAGGAAATCTCTACCACGTACACAAAATGACTCACCTCTCATGACCTTGGTGAAGTAGTACATTGTTGAGCTTGTCATTCCAAAGGTCACTGAAAGACAAGAACACTTTTCTGTAAGTTTTGACCCTTTCCCATTCAGATTGAAAATATAAAGGCATACATGCATGTGAAACAAAACAGATTGGACCAAAGGATGAGAAAACGAATGAGGAGTTGATCTTTCTGATCATCAGTAATTAGACTTATTGCAGAAAGAGAGGTTGCAAAGGATGCAGATTCTAGTTTAGGAACTGCTCTCCTTACATCAGCCTCCCCAGTTTGAAGTAGCGATAAGAGAGGTAAAGGGTCAGTCCCTGTCAGAGTCTGTGATTGCATTAAACCCATGAAGATCAATTCCTCACAAGTTCAGATATAGTAAATTGCCTTTGAACCTTTTAAACAGAGAGTGATAAACATCAGTATCATCCCTGAATCAAACATTAAGGTCATGTTCATAAAGAAAATGAAAGAGAGGTTAAGAAGCTCTTGATTGTAAAGCAAATCCTCCTTGTAAGTACCATAGAACAAATATAAAGGATGGTAAGGAGAACTTGTCAACTGATCATGGGGTGTTGAGGGTGAAAGCCTTTCCAACACCTGACTTGATATCCTGTTGAGAATTTGTTTCCCAATTTGAGTTGACACTTTGTGATCAGATCAATACATGATTCTCCCTTCCAGCTCTTTTACATTTCCTAGTAAATTATTTGATAGAATTTCAATTCATGTTAAGAAAACACTCTCTAACTGATCTGTTGGTCAGTTCTCCTTGCCAACAGTTATATGATGTATTGACAATGCAAGAAGAACATGCATGCTAATTAATCACTTCAGAGAGTCAGTGAGCTAACATGCAAGCACTGGTCAACAGATTTCACCAAAAAGCAAAAGGTTATGCTCAAGAAGTCAGTGATAAAACAACATTTCTCAGATGATCAATATTTGTGAAAGGAAACTTGACCAGCCATCATAATAAAAATTATAAGCCACACAAATTTATTTTTCAACTCACAGATGCAGAGGATGGTGATGAAGACTAAATAGATGACCAGTTCTCGCAAGGTGGTTTTCACATGTGCCTCCGAGCCAGAATCAGTATCCTCAGTCTGTCTGGTTCTCCACAAACCTAAAAGACAACAAAAGAAGGGCTAAAATTAACATCAAAATTCTACTGACAAGTTGGCCATGCACAGCTGCCTGAACACATCCACATCTAGCATGTTAAAAAAATATCGACTTTCTGTTTTCTGCCAGAACCATTGCTGAGCTTTGCAGGATGCATTTGGCTTTAAAACCAGTTATTTAGATATATATAGATAGTATTAAGATAATTTTTTTTTTGATCATTCCTTGATGCAAAAAGCCCAAAATTATTAAAAAACCTGTTCTGTGTCATTTCAAACAAATGCAAATTTCTGTCAGATCTGTCTTGAAGTGGTAATGATCAAGAAAGGACTCCTTGAAAAGCAAATATTTCAAACAAAAAAACAGCAAATATTGAGGAAATGTTGCTCTCTGAATTAAATGAAACAATTTTGTGTAACTGTTAGAATATGAGAAGACAACCTGCTGTAGCTGTTTAACCATTCCAAACTAGTTCTTATGTCAAGACAGCTGCTGCATTTTTACATATTGGCGAAATCGGGAAAAAATACAAAAATAAACATTTTTAATTAACTTGACAAAAAAGCTCTTACTATTTTCATATCAATAACCTTCCCGATAACTTTGAATGGATTCTTTTACATCTCCAAGCCTTGTTATGTATTTCAATTCCCTTTAAAATTTCCCACATAATACAAAAATGGTAACTACAATAGATTATTATTTGTTATTTTCATTACAAACAAAAACTAGAGTTCCCGCATTGATTCATTCAAACTGCTGATTCAAAAACAAACAAAGCAAAGTCCTATTTTAGAGTAATATTTGGAAATATTTCCTCTGGCAGTTTTCCCTCTGACCTACAAGGTTAGGTATAATGTGGCGATCGTACTTGGAATTCATAATAAACAGATCTGCGAAGTAAACATCACGGGCTCAATGTTCAAGGCAGTCTGTGTTCTAAGTAATGTTTATCTTAGACTACCGTTTAAATACAGAAAACCCGAATTTTAGCCTCTTCGCGGAAAATTCTAGACTTTCGTGGAGCAAAGTTTAATTAGATTGCAATTAATTCTTTTAAGCAACGGAAAATGAGAGCTTTTTGTGGAGCTCGTCAACGGTTATCACTGAAAATCGAACACTGATCTCTGTTACGTAAAATCAATCCGCACGAGAGCACGATGTCCAAAACACAATCGGTTTCAAACGGATAAAACGGGATCTTAATTCAAAGCCACAAAATTTGACCAAACGAGTGCAATTTTACTGCAAATCAAGTACCATAAATAATTAATTGCAGAGAAAATTGCCGCTGAAATATGAAAACCTATCGGCGAGGTATCTGACACAACAGGATCTAGATTCTGATCGCAAGCTGCGAAAAAATGTTTCGGGCCTTTGAAATATTCCAATTCGTCTAAATTACGATAAAAGTTTGTACAGATTATAATGGAAACCTCAGTCGCCACAAATAAACGTGGATATAACTTACAGAAACGTGTCTCCCTATACTTTTACAAAACGAAGATTTTAATTTAAATTGGCATGAATATCATTTGCAGTCTAAACACCTGTCGCCAATCTTCATTAAAATTTTACGTTCTGGCGAACCGAATATGCTACGAAACGAGTTAGACCCTTTCAGGGCTTTTCTAAAATGAGAGGGACTAATCGAAGAAACAACCAAAATCTAATAAACAGCAAAAAAAATTGAGACAACAACTTCTCAAGAGTTTGTATGCTACAACGAATGTCGATTGATCGCAAGCCGCGCAACCTAATTCTAACTCGAATTTTCTGCAATTTTTTAATTACAGTTCTCATCTTCCACTTGTCTTCCCCTGAGAAAAATCCTTTTAATATCGAAACAAGACTGAAGTACAACATACTTGACAAATGTCCCCAAGAGAAAAGAAAAATACTAGATGAAATCAACCATGGAAAATTACCAAATTACGTGACATTAAAAGTGCAGAGCTCGTAGCGGGCAGATCGATCAAATCTTAAAACCATACAAGTTTCGGAGAAATATATGATCACTTTGGCGATAGAACATCACGTTTTATACTTTACAAAACATTCCTTACCTCGGACAATCCTTTTAAACCTTGTCCAACAACCGACAGGGACGTTTTTCGTACCAGGAGCCCGTACATCCGTTGGGACACGACCTTGATGGTTTACAGGTTCGTGCTCCATAGCTGAAGGAAGATCGACGGCTGCGGAGGCCGGCGCGCGAGGGGAGAAATCAATCTCATCGTGTCCTCCGCTCAGTAGATCGTCAGACCATGCGTTTCGAGAATGAGAAGATGGCGGCCTGTTGTTCTTCTCGTGCATTTCCAGTTCATCTCCAAGACTAGCTTGCGATCCTATTCCGCTACGATTCCGGCGCTTTGCAGAGCCTCCACTCATGTTTAAGTTCGTTTACCTTTTAATATCAAAAGGATAGGGAAATCTGTTAAAATAACGCTGTGATACAGCGCGAATTCAACTAACGAGCGCTTCCTCTCGCGAATTAACGCCAAATGCAGATCTAGCAACTTTCCAACCGTTCGCCGATAAGGGCGATAAATATTTCATGTTCTACGCAAGTGAAGGAAAGTATGTCAATCAAGCGTGCTAATTAGGTTTCTATAGTTACGGCTCAGGAGGAAATTTTCGCAAAATTTACTAAAATTGCGCAGTTTGTAGAATTATGTAATAAAAACTTCCCTGCTTTACAAATTGGCTCGTTCAATTTTCAAATCGGAAGCACTATTTTAAATTTTTTTTCCGATGACTGAGATAATAGTTAAATTTTGCACGGTTTTCAATCGAGTGGTCGAAAATACGGAAAGACCACACAAAGGCCGACAAAAAACAACAAGATGAAATAAGAAACCACACGAAGAAATCATAACAGATAAGGAAACCCTTTAAATGTTCACGTATATAAGACCAAAAATGGTGACCTTACCGAATCTTTAAAAGGCAAACCCAAGTGATGAAGATGTAAAAAAGGAACGATTTTCGTTACCGAATTCACCTGTGTCGCAGCTCAAGTAAGGCAAATATTCCTGTGTTTTAAAGCAAATAATGAATATTTTATGAAGGCAGCGAAATGGGAGCAACCGATTGGTTGTTTATGCTGACAACTTTGGACAACAAGGACTTCTCACACCATTGCGAAATAAGACGACTTTTCAAACAAAAGTATTATTTTTTTGAATAAACCAGTGCGATCAAAATATGATGTTATCTGATAAACTGGAACGTTCTAAAACTTTTTTAAAGCCCTGAAACAATGAGATTTTACTCATAACAAGCCGTATTTTCTTCGAACAAGAATATCGTTAAGGCTACCGTTATTATCAGAGTAATAATAGTAACAATGAAAATAATTTTTCCTTTCCGGTATCGAGTTTTAGCGAAAAACAGGACAATATTACAAAGTGAAATTGTCAGATACAAAAGCTTGGTTTGACAGACGCCATGACTATGGATAATTCTGTTTTAATTTTTGTCTTTCTTTTTGTTTCATAAAATTCCTTTTTTTGCCCCTATGTAAGCATGATCGAAGGATTATAAAAAAACAAGTTCAATGGAAGTTATTAGCGAGCGAGTTTCCCACAGATTTAACCGCAAACACGAAACTTGGAAGAAACATGAGCTATTATGGTAACTACGCACACACTCTTAATTCCATCCTTGCGAAAGCTTATTGGAAGGAGGAGATCCTATTTCATTGTCTTAGTTACTCGACAAAGCATTGACGTATTTGGGGAAATTTCAGCTGAATAAGAAATTAGATTCGTTCGTCACTAAAACGTTGAATTGACACTCCCCTTCTGCCAAACTATCTCCGAAAAAAAAAAAGCATTGCCGAAGGGTGGTTTGCTTTTATCGCTTATGTCTGGCAGCATTTCACAATTTTATCACTTCTTTTTAATCTTTTAGGTACGACCCTGGGATTCCTGGGAGTTTCAGTGAAATATTACGAGCGGGCGGTAAGAACCCATTCTTCTTGAGAACAAGAAAATCCCCAGTTCGCATGGAAATAATAAATAATCCAGGCTGGCAGAAATTAAGAGTTATAAAAATGTGAACAACATGCAATCAATAAACTCTTCAGATAAGCTACAAGTGAAACAGGCAAAAAGGAAATCGCTTTTAAATTTCGAATTCTGAGGAAAACACACCATAACTTCGTCCATTTACAACGGAATTGTGGGCGATAATTCATTCCTGCGGTCGATAAATTGATCCGACGAACTTTTCGCTGTGGGTGAAAAATGATGGCATAGTGAGCCCTCATTATGCTGGAAGGCGGAATACCTCCCCTCCGGATGGTGTCAAGACTGAACTCAAGTACAGAGAACTGAATACGATTCAAGACTCTCATAAGCTGGAAATAACAACACAACAAATAACTTTGTAGTTTACGCCCGTCCTCTACTTTAGCAATACGGTTCAACAGCTCTTTATTACTTAAACACTTTGAAACGTGTACAGGTGTGATTGGCAATTTTAATTTTGACAACTTTGAGCCACGCCACAGCCTTTCCAAAATTTAAAATAATCTATAGCAAGTTCTTCAACTACGTTTGTAATTTCCAATCCATCTTTTAAAATAAAGAAAACCGCAGATATTGTTCGGTGAGGCGCGGAAAAACTCTAAACAATGTAGCGGGTCCGAACGATTACGACATCATACACATATAAATAGAAAAAAAAATAGCCTTTGAATCGGCAATCACCTCTCATACAAATTGTTAAGGAAAACTAAAACGCAAACAAACCAGAAGAGTGTAGGTGTCTTTACAACCTCAACAACACAAGTAACATAAAATTTGGAATGGTTTCAAATTCAAGTTCATATGTGGTCATGTTGTTTCGGGAACAAGATTTTCCTTTAATGTTCTTAACGGCAGCCCAACTCAGCAATTTTCTTTGACATACCACCTGCTAACCAGAGCTAGAATATTAATTGACGCACTGTTTAGCTTAGCTTTTAATTAAGGCGAAGAGAAAATTTTTGACAGTAATTTTCAGCTTTAAATATTTCAGCGCAGTCATGCTGGTCGTTGAAATGCGTACTTGCGTCGCGATTACCGTGACCTCTGTCAAACCAAGCGCTTCGTTCAAACTCACGTCCAAGATTAATTTAAATCTTTCTGCTATGTGGGCTTGTACAGGGAAGTAACATCTTGATTCTGGCCACAATTTTCATTTCAGAAAGAAATTAACAGCTTGACAGGAACATCAGACGTAAACTGGACGTGTTTCTCGCCTCCAGAAATATGAATAAATTAAAAGGATTAGATTCAAATACGTATGAAAAAATAGCACGTAGATTGTAGGTAAACCCTTATATCCTTTCCATAATGTAATGAACACTTTCCAGAAAACGTTTTTGTGATAAAATGTGAGTTTTATATTTAGGACGGGAAATGTTTAGGGAGACTTAAATTTGGTTTGAAGCTCTCTACCTCAAAAACTAAAAGGTTTTTCTAAATGGGTCGCATTTTGCATTCAAATCCACCACTCTGATATCATATGACACATGAAAACGATCATTTTAACTGAAAACATAGAAATGTGCCTAACTTCATGTTTTAAATTTAGGAGTGTGTTAGATTAAAAAAACGACATGTGCTTGAGTTTCAAATGAATGAAAGCTTCAAAATTAAACATTTGTTGATCTAAAAATATTGAGATGAGACTATTTGCATACGTCACTGAAAATTCAAGTTGGAAAAAAAAGTACAAAAAATTGTCAAACAAAATATATGAACGTCCACACCATAAAAAAATTCTTGTAGATGTTATTTTTTGAGGACAAAATTTGTTCTTATCATCCAGTGGCTTTCCAGTCTAGCTAAACCTGTTTCAATTAATATATGTCAAGGTTTGCATACAGATTAATCAAACTCGTGTGTTTATTTTTTTGCCAAACTTAATGATGACACAGACATTTACACATTGCAGATCCTTATAGCTTCATAAATACCGTTTGATAGACTGAATTTAAGAAAATGGAATCCTGTAATGCCTCCCTAGTACCAAGCTTCTTTGCCTTCTCTGGCCACAAAATATAGGCCAATGGATGAACAGACCTGACAGAAAGGTGACTGCAGAAATTTAGAGTGTCTACTGGTAGAAAATTTAAGAGATTTGCTGAGGTTAAAACTAAAGGCATCACCAGGCTCCAACCTGCAATTGCTTTGGTCACCATGACAAGTAGAAAAAAACTTCTGATCATTTAAAATTTACAACTTTTGTTTCTTCAGGGATTATGTTGGAAGCTGCAGTATTTTGTTTAATTAAAGTTTATAGTCTTAAGGGAAAAGAATATAAACATTTCCATAAAATAACATATACTTTTGAGCAAACTGGGCTATTAAATTTTAATTTTAATTTTTTAAATTTTTCCTTTTAGGCCTAGTAAAATTATATTTCTAGCCATGGTTTTATGATCTTTGGTTACTGCTACTTGGAAAACTTGTGCATGCTGTCCTTTAGCAACCTAAACCAACAACACACCATCCAAATGACCTTCCAGGTTCAAGTCTGAACCACAAACCAAAGATATGAGATGTAGTTAGATATTTGTCACTGAGATGAACAAATGTTAAGTTGACGAGTAAACAATTTTTAGGTAAAAATTGAAAGCTTTGTAAGCTAGTGATAATGTGGCTCCCAGCTGTCTATGCCCACAGCCAAACTATTTTTGAATATGATTTTACAACACAGTAAGCACAAAATAAATTAGGCAACAACCAAAATATTTTATTAAACAGATGTGACAGTTCAAAACTTCGTCACAAATAGTTGTCCTTAATGTGTTGAGATATCAAAACAATCAAATTGTTGTTAGCAACATAAAAACTCCAACTTACCTGCATTTCTTGGCCACTGAATAGTAAAAAACTAAATTCGAATTCTGTATTCACTTGCGTTTGATTTTTTTGCCTCTTAATTACGCCGATACCTCAGATGCCGATCCACAGGTATTGAGTCATGACCTGTTGTTAACAGAAAAAATGGTTAAGAGAATTGCTTTAAAGCTCTCTGCCTGAAAAAAGCACACTACTTTAAAACGAGCGTAAAATAGATCTCGAAACTCTCATCAAATTATCTAACCCATTAGACAATATAGTGAATTTTCAGAGGGAAAGAAACTACCAGAAATACAGAAATATTAAAATTTCCCACCTCTAAGATGGCCGCCATACTTTTTCTCAATAAAGATACTGGACTCTACTCATTGTTAGCCTCGATATGAAGACACCACCTGATATGAGCCCACGGTTTAATTATCCGCCCCATTCCCACTCATTACGACACTCATCTCAAGAAACTTAGGGAGAGTACTCTATTGGAAGAAGGACTGAGGTTAGAAACAGCTAGCCTGTAGAACAGGCGCAATTTTTAGCGTTTCTGAGGCGAACGGAGGCAAGGCAAGCATGAAGTCCAAGTCACTCACAAGGGAGGAGCAAAAAGAAATATATTTAAGGAATTCTGTGTCCTAAAGCAAAGGAGCATAGACAAATGGTTCTGGAAACTGACAAGATAAATTCATAATGGGGAGAAAATTTAAAAATAGGTTGTGTAGGGTAGTCTGAATCAGCAAGAGGAGGTATCCAATGACATTGGTCAAAATCCACATTTTGTCTGCAATCCACCTGAATATGGCCGTAGAGGTCACTGGGACATAAGCCAGAGTAATGCTGGACCATGCTGGAATTCCACTTAAATCCCAAATAGGTTGTGGCTATATAAAAGGAGACACTCATGAAACCCAGTTAGACACAATACAAATTGGTTTTATCCAACAATCTGTTTCCGGTCACTCATGTTATTTCCAGGTGCCGTCAACCCTTTGACCCAGAAGAGTGCCTCACATCTGATGCCTCCTTCCAATGTGGACTGCAATGTTAGCCATGAATGACACATTAAGGTCATGAGAATAAAGTAAATGATCACTCAGTAAATAAGTTCTTAACCCTTTAACTCCCAAGATCTGATTGTCAATTCTCCCCTCTAACTGCTACACATTTCCTTGTAAATAAGTTACAAGAGTTTGGTGTTAGATCAAGATAACAATTCCTACCTAATAAGTTTGAGTATTCTCATGACCTGTTTGCAAGATAATGTTTAGATATTACAGGGAGAAGTTACATGTTAATCACTCTTGGGAGTTAAAGGGTTAATTGTTAAAAAAATTCTCCTTTCCCACACTTTAGGAAAAGAACTGATGGTATGTAGAATATGCATACTGATGTTAGGGTATAAAAGGGTTAACTGGATTGGTCCATAGGAGCTCAAACCAATTTAAATACTATAAATTTTCTACGATGTGAAAGAGTGATAATAATGGAAAAAATTGACACCTGAGCAATACTTAGCTTGGTGTTGAAGGACAAATCCAACCTAATCACAAATGAGATTGGAACTAGTTACTGCACTTTTCATTTAAGTGATGTAAGATCAAACCAAACTGATCACCACTGCAACTAGAACTGGTTATTTTGGAAAAAAAATTATAGGAAGCCAAAGAGAGCTGTCACAATTTGTATAGTTTTGCATCTATTTGATGGTGAGGATGCCACAAGTTTTCAGAACCAATTTCAGGGTAGAGAAAAGGAAAAAAAGAACAACCAGTGCAATCCCACACAAAAGTCAGCACTAAATTTAAAAAAATTTCTCTCATTCTACACAGAGATGGTAAATAACAAACCAAAACACTGCAATAGTCCTTTTATTTTTTATCCTCATTTCATGCAATCATCATAGGAAAGTTAGATACAATGCTGATTTGAAAAGCACAACTACATGGACAAAACTGATAGAAACTCATCAAGCAAATAGCTCACTTGAATTAACACATTCACTTTTATATTTAGCGTGAATGCTTATGTTGATAAGTCATTGATTGTAAATTAAGAGCTAGAAATATCCAAATATAATTACTCAGTAATCCAGATTACCACAAGGGAAAAACATTTTTTGTAATACAAAACATTAATTCAAAATATAATGCAAACTTCTCAAGCTACCTGTTTGAAAACTTTCGATTAAATTATTTTTGTCAGAGATCCTTACAATGACCTTTTAACCAATCACTAATGTGACCAAAAAACTATCAGTCACCAAAAGTCATGAATAAAGGAACTTTTAAAACATTATTCCTCATCGCTACTGTTATTTGACATGACAAACAAATTTCCACTATTTGGAAAGCAAAATATTGGCAGATGAAATATTTTCCCCACAAAAAGCTTCCCACCATCTCCCATCATTGCACATTGTTAATTGAATAATTGAATTAATCATTAATGTCTCAGTTACTTTATTTAACATTTGTCAAAATTATGACAGAAAGCAAAATTCTGAGCCACTCAAGAATATTTCAGCCTTAGCCTAGGTCTTGTACACAGACCTTCCACAGTTAAGCAGTTAAGGTAGGGTTACAAGATAACCTTAAATCTTCCCATTCCATGATCTGATGGACACTTCATAATGATATTTGGGGGGGGGAGGTTTGAGAAAATTTTGTCAAGGAGGAAGGGGGGAGGGGGTCAATACTTTGATTAGGAAAAGACAACTTAATTAATTTTTCAGGCTAGGGCCTAAAGCTGAGAAATATTTCAAGATAACTTAATTTTAAATACTTCTATTAACTTGAGTAGTAATGTATGATCATGTTATTTTGGTTTCAGACAAGTACCTACTGTAGTTAAAAAAAAAACCAAACCCATGTCTGATGGGGTGGGGGGTTTTGTGTTTTGCCCCCCTAGACTGACCCCCCCCCTGATCTGCCAAGAGATTGCCACAAACACTTAGCATGATTCATGTTCATGATCATGATTGTTTAAACATTTCTCTCAGTCTTCCCACTTGCCCAAGTTATTAAAAAAAAGAACTTGACTGCACAATGCAAGACTCACAATTAAGTAGTGACCAGAGCATTTCCACAAGACTCAACTAGAAATGCAGCACCTCAAACAGTTAAATTTAATAATTGAAAATGTAGTACCTAAAGTTGAAAATTTTGTTCAACCAACAAAAGTCTGTCAAATAATTCATCACACTATTATCAAGAGGGAACAGTAAACTGCATTTCAAACTATCAGCTGATCTAATCCATGTCATTGACTTCAATTTTGTCTAACCAGTTGCAACGTGGATGGTAGGACCTTTGGGATCATCAAATCGGTCCATTGTAGTCAAGCTGAACATGACAAGCACTGCGATAAAGAGAATGATCAGAAGAACACCTGTCGTGATCAGCCCCATAAGAATAGGGATGTTGAAGAACCCTGTACAATCGTAGGCATAGGAAAAGGTGCCGTTCTTAACATTAATTGGCTGAACCTGTAGGGAATGAAACAAAATGTTTGGTTGACAGATAGGTTCACATTTACTGGAAAAATACATGGTAACTTGGATTTTTACAAGGTGGCTCTTTGTGCACCACCAAGTGTTGATTTCATTGTATGAGGAAAACTGGAGAGCTCATTCATTTATTAACAACAAAACCAACTCCATTTATATTTCTGTGTTTAATCATCATTTTTCTTCCAGAAGTGATAGTAGACTACCTTCCTTTAGCAGTGCAGAATGAAAACAAAGCACATCAATTGAAAGCCCAACAACACCTGATTATTTTTTTTAAGGCTTCTTTATAGCAGTTTCTAACATTAAATTTAAGCAAATCAAGTGGTGACAAAAGTCAAATTCATTTTAACAACGTAAAGGATGTCATCTTAAAAGAACAAATTCTCACAACTAACAGAGAAAAAAAAGGAACATCAGCTCTCTGGAAGTGATTCAGGAATCAAAGAGTTGACAGATGACAGTAAAACCCTGTTAATACATGTAAATGCCATGAAAGTAAGGGTGCACCTAGATTGACAATGTTCATAAAAAAAATTATCCTTCATGGATGGTGTTAAAAATTCCATTGGGCAAAAAAAGTGGTCATACTGCATTAGATAGGTGGTAATATTGCACGGTGCATGGCTATCCATAATTGGACTGTTTTTTAAGCTAGAACAAGTCATCAACCTTACCTGAAAGTTTTTGAAGCTGATTGGGGTCTTGTTGTGTTTCATTGTCACATTGACACAACTGTATGAATATTCACTAGGAGCTGTCAATACTCCACTTGAATTGTATGTGAAGGTTCCCTTAATCTCTTGACCACTTAATGTACCATCAATTTTTAAGGTTGCATCAGTGCATTTCCATTCAGATGCATTTGTAGTAAAGGTAAAGCTTGGAACAAAGAAACACATGAGACAAGTGTTAGAGGTTCAATGTACTACAAATACACTCTGCTGACCATTTCACCACCAGGAATGACTAACAATTACATTCTCCCAACAATTCATTCAACTAAACTGTCAAACAGATAGTGCTTGTAAATAAAAATTGTGTAATACATCAAATAGGAGGTAGTGTTTGAATTCAGCATAAAATTCTCAAGATACTTAACATCAGAAAATAGGAGACAATTGGAGGGCTCAGAGCAAGAACGATCCCTTGATTTTTCGGCCATTTTTGAAAGTGTTCAGAAGTAGTTGAATTTTGGCATGTGGACACTTTCAAAAATGGCCGAAAAATCAAGGGATCATTCTTGCTCTGAGCCCTCCAATTATCTTTAAATGTTAAGAATTGATTCCTCTCATCCCCAGGAATGATTTTAAATCTCAAGAACGAGTATTTATGTTCTTCTTACCTCAGATCTAATGTTTTAACTCCTTTAATACCTTTGAAAATGATTGTGATACTGTTAACAGAAAGAAAAACACTTTTTGTCACTATAAAAAATTTACTTAACTGCCCACAAATAAGCAACACAGCAACACAAAAATACTGTAAGTTGCACATGGCTTACAGACAAACTGAACTATTCAAAGGTAATTTGATATTATCAACTGAGTTAATAGCATAAATTGGCCACCATAAAGAGTTTTAAAGCTGACATTTAGAGTGTTAGCCCTTCATCAGAGCAAAGAGCACTGACCAAGGGCTAACACTTGAAATGTTACCTTTAAAGCTCTTTATAGTGGCCAATTTATGCTATTAACTCAGTTGATGATACCAAATTACCTTCTTAACCTCTCCAACCAATGCAGTACCACAGTTTCTTAAGAAATTTACCCCCTTTATTCATTTGAACTATGTGATGACTGCAAAGAGTTTACTTGCATCAAAAAAGACTATGCAAAGGGCAAAGGATTGCTGCCACATTTCAAAACACTCCACCAGAAAAAACTCCACCACCTCTGAACAATCCTCTTAGGACTAGTACATGTAACTGTAACTACACTATCAAATTACACAGTGAAATAACTATATCATTAAAAAAATTTAGCCAAAAGGACCATTATAACATAGCTAGTAAATTTGTGTAATCAAATTCAATTGCACGAGCATGCTTCATATTCCTACTGTGCGCACTCATGACGTCAGCAAACAAATCCCTTGAGAAAAAAATTTTCCATCAGGTTGAAAATGTTATAAAACAATTGGTTCATAAGTTAGCATGTGTTCAGCATGTTTGGAGAGCACGAAAGATGCATAAGAGTTGTTTGTGGCATAATCGAGAGCAACTCTAGCTTCCAATTGTTAATTAATAGACACAAAAGTTTATAACGCATCATACCTATCACTTGTATTAACCGCAGTACAATCCTTTTGAACATCAAAAGTTAAGTCCTCCGTAGCATTGCTGAAAACGTTGAGAGTGGTTTGATTCGCCATTATTTCAAATCCTTTGAAGTACAATAAAATGCACCCAGCATCAGCAAAAAGACTCCCATTTATAAGGTGATTCTTTCTGGCTGCTTCAGGTACACTTCCCAAATCTTCCACCTCCAAAGCTCGTCGGAATCTGTCGCGTGATTCCTGTTGCCATTGTTCCTCTAATAAAAGTCTTTCATGAATAACCTTGAAAGAAACAAAATCATTACAATGTTGACACATTTATGTTGCTGTTTAATTTAAAAGTGTTTTTTAGAGCAATTTTCAAATGAATAGCGAATTCAGAGTAATCCCCAATTACTTTGGTTTTGCTTCAACAAAGAGTTAAAAATATTACATTTTCTTCCTTGTTAATGTTTGACTGCTCACTAGGAATGTTGTAAAACTTATTTACCTATAGAAATTTTGGTCACAACAAACCACAAACATTTGTTTGGACTACAAAAGACAAAAAGCCACAGCTAGTTTGTACATTGCATTAAAAAAATTTTTCAGCGTTTGACATTAGGAGATTGCATAATATTCGTGTTGCTTCTCTTGAGTGGATTAAAAGGCACCCTCTTGGACTGGCTGATCACAGGCCTTGATTTCATGCAAGAGCCTTGAATCCTGTTGGCTTATTGAGGTCCTACAGGCTGACTTGCTTCGGTCTGGATGCCATGGGAAGATTTGTAGTTAAAGTGTGACCACTTGATCAAAGCAAAATGTGTTAATAGAAATCAGAACTGTGGGCAAAACCTTGTTTCAACAATGGATTTTGTTACCCCATGACAAATGTCCGTTCCTAAGATTGATTGAACACACTTTAATTGTCGACTGTTATTACTAGTTATTTAGTCTTACCTCATTTGGAGAAGCTGCAGTCATAATACATGTATATGGCAAATCTGTGGATGCTATCTGACCACTAATGGCCCCAATCAGCTTATCTGAAAAAGAAAAGGCAGAAAAGTTCTCAAACTCAACATCTAACAGTTACACTTCACCAAAAAGTGAAAATGTAAAGAAATACATGTATTGACTTACCATTCTGTATAAACATCTTTGCAGGTTCACTGGGGATGACAGAAAAACATGATATGTTGAACAGATATCTACAGTGAGTATGTAATGATAAATGTATGCATGTGGATGTACAATAACTGTTTTTAATCACAAATGTACTCCAAATATATCCAAATGTGTAATAATTGTAAACTGCAATGATGATAACAATGTTTGACCCCTTGGAGCAACTTGCATCTAATTTCTCCTCATAAATATCACCCCTGAGTAAAGGAAATGATCACCAACTAAAGAAGCCCTTGATTGTTAGGCAAATTCTCCTTGCAAGCACTTCAAGAAATGCATGAAGAACAGTAAGGAGAATAAACATACTGATGTTAGAGTGTAAAGGGTTAAGTAAATAACTAAATAAATTCAGAGAAAAGTGAACAATTTATTAGATGTAGTTACCAAAGGTATAACAGTTTTTTTTTTGTTTTTTTTTTTGAGACAGATTGATAAATTGTATAAAATCTTCGTAAAGCAAGTTGTCTTAGATGATGAACTGGAGGACAGGTGCAAGGGAAGTGAATTAAAAAGGTTAAATAAGATAGACAAACCTTGAAGATGTTGGCATCAAATGAAAGATGAAAACATTTGTCTTTTCCTTATCCAGTGAAAATTCTGTAATATCAAACTTTCCTGTTTCTGTTTGAGAGATAAGAAATCAAGGAATCATCAGAGGACTTATAAATAGAATAGATCAACCTCTTAAATGCAAACTGTATCATCCACACTAAACAAGGACAAAGACTACAGACAGATATCCATCACGTTAGAAGGAGATTGGTTCAAAGCCCAACTTCCTTTACCTTCTTCTTTCCATGAATGACCAAGACAAATTTTTTTTCCTTAGACTACAGATAGATGTTCATTAGCTTGCAATGAGAATGGTTCAAAGTCCAACTTACTTTATCCTTTCTTTCCATGAATGACCAAGACAAAATGTTTTCCTTACAATTAATATCAATACAATATCTAGCAGACAAGTGATGATAAGAAAGAAAATGTCAAGTAGGGGATTTTTAGTTGATCCAATACCAAATTCTCTGACTTGACATAATAAGAGTTGTATGGCAGACAGTAAGGAGAATTACTATACATAGAGATCTTGGTAGTAAAAGGTTAAATTCAAGTTACCATTTCCCCACCACCATAACTGCCAGAAATAAAATTAAAATTGCCAGAAAAATAGGGAACAGCTAGTTCATAACCTGAATATTTTTTTTCAACATTTAATTGCTTTAAAAAAATATCTGACCCAATTAAGAAAAAGTTAGAGCTTTTTAAATTACAGCTTAATACAAGTTATCAAATCACCAACCTTGACTGCAAATTTAGCCCACAAAACTTTTCAATGCCCCATGGCAACCAAAATGGTTGCAGCTCAGAGGTTTGGACACCCTCTTCATTTGTTTTTCATTTAATAAGTCAAATACCCACTCAATGCTATACCATGACAATTTATATCTAACCATTGGTAAGGCAACACATGACAAAAAGGTTGGAAATGGGAGAAAATAAGTTAAAACATGGGCAGACACATTTCAACCCATTAACTTTACCTTCTGGATTTAACTCCTTCACCAAACCACTTGCCATTTTTCTGATCAGGTGAAGCAACTCATCATTATTCCCACTTGATGAGGAAAGATCTACTGATGGTAAGACAGCTGATGAGTTGGCAGCTTCCATGGCAACTTTAAGGTTGTAAAATGCTGTGCCTTGGTTTCCAGTGCTGTATGCATCACCATAGTGACTAAGATCCTCTATACTCAACTGAAAAAATATAAAGAAATTATTTGCATGAGAATTATGCATATACATACATACATACATATGGTTGTATCTACACCCATTTTCAAAAACATTGTAAAAAATATATGAAATATATGCACCTTTGTTTTCTCATCAAAAAGTCTCTTTCTGATGAGAAAACAAAAGATATTTATATTTCATGTATATTTTCAAATTGCAACATTTTTGAAAATGGGTGTATGTGTATATATCGCTTAACAATTTAACAACATATGTTTAACAATATAATTAGTTTAACAATTAAGAGCGTTTCCAGTTGGTGATCATTTCCTATACTCTCAAGACCATAATGTTTGACTCAAGGGGGATAACAAAGGGAGAAATCGAATGCTAGTCAATCTTAGAGGTTAAAAAGCCTAATGATCCACTCACCCTATCCTGTAGAAAGACACAAATGATTTGCGGGGTGTTGAATAGTTTCTTGAGATATTTATCTTGAAAATCACTTTGCTTTACTGTGTGCCCTGCCAGTACAGGTGAAGAACTAATAACCCCACTGTTGGCAAGATAACAAAGACACATAATTTGCAACTGCTTTGAGACCATTCAACTTTAAAAAAAGCACTCTAGGCTGACATCATTTTGAACGCTGTGGCAAGTGGAAAGAACTCAATAAGTAACTTAATTAGAAGCAAAAGTTACTGATTTGACAACCTGTCTTCTGCAGTCGAGCATCAAACTGTTACATTTTGACTATTTCAGTGCTGTCAATAATGTAAAGTTTAAGTAAGACAACCATTTGTGTACAAAGCTTTCAAAGCTTTTTCTTTTATTAAGCTTTTTAACCAAAACATAATTCCATGCGGCCATGTCCTATTCTTATGGTTACCAAATCTCAAATTTGAAAAAGTTGGGTTGCAAGGCCTACATAACCAGTATAGCTCTACGTGCATATAGGCTACCGTAAGAAGGTTCTTAATGGTGCAAGATTTATCCAACACTTATGTAATTGCAAACGATGTAGAAAGTTACAAAGTGTACTTGCCTGTCTCAAGAGACTCATTCAGAGAGCTCTCAATTTGATTCTGTTTATATTTTTTAATTTCCTAAATGCACTTGTTCGCTAAAATTTCTTACCACAAATTAATCATGTATTTAATTTACAGGAAAACACTCATAAATATAATCTACATTCTAAATTGAGTTTTGTCTCATCAATCTTAAACAAGACAAAGAAATGACTCAGTAAAGTTTCATCATATCAAATGCAACTCAAAAGTCATAGCATACATCTCAAATTTCCCAAACGATTTCGTTTTGATCCAAACACATGTCTATTCTGCCAAAATTTGTCAAGTTTGAGTTTCAATTTTCCAAATTATAGAAATTCGATCGAAAAGCCCCTTTTGAAAATTGAATAGATACGGTGCAATCGGTAAATAATGTTCTTTAAATTCCTTACCTATCTTTAGACCATATAAAAACGGGTACTGGTAAGGAAGAATCGGCACATAAACATCCTAAAAACGAAATAAAAACACTCCACAGCCAGAGGGACGACGAAGCCGCCATCTTGCCTGTCTCATTGAAGGCACGTGATCTTATTAGCTCATCGCGCATCCGCTGACCAATATTTCATTTTTTTTTTCTTCTATATTTAATTTCCAATTTTTTTTTTTTTTTTGAGGGGGGGGCTGGTGCTGAAAAAATTACAGAAAGATTTTTTGCGGGAATAAGCTATTCTCATACGTACCTTTCGGCTGTATTCAATTGGTGACGTCCACTTACGTTAGCGCAATTCTCAATTAATCCAAAATTTTTTAAGTAAAACGACATTATGGAGCACAACAAGTGGGCTAAGTATCTATTACGCATTTGCAGGGCTGAATCAATGTCAGTATCAGAGAAACTGTGCAAATACTCCTCTCCTAGCTTTACATCAACGCTAACTTATTATCAGTTGACTGTTATTGGATGTTGGATTAGGGGAGGAGTAGGTGAACATTTGCTCAGATAGTGATATTGGTCCGCAGGACTTCAAGTCCGTGTTAGAGCTGAAAAGCGAGTTGAGATAACGGCTTCTCCTTTGCACTCCACATCTAGTAACTGCGGAGTAAAAATTTCTCTCGGGATCCCTTTGGAAATTTAAAGGCTATAAAAGTTTAAAAATGTGAGGACGCCAGACAAAAGACAAAGACAAGAAAGGAAAAAAAAGACAACGAAATCCGGAAAAACATATTATTTAAGAAATTTATTTAAAAGAAAAAAAAGGAACCGCAAGCATCCGATCTGAAAAATGTATTTTTTCCCATAAAAGAGAGCTCCAAACATTCATTAACAACGTACCGAGCCTGACATGTCAATAAGGCGTAAAAATGTGGCGTACTCGGGCATTCGGATCGCAAATGCGTTCCAAATTCATCGCTTGCCAAAGCAACCGCGACGCTTCCCGCCTTAAAATGGCGGCTTCACCAGCAGCTTTTTCTCGATATTTCATTTCTGCCTCTATGTCTTCTGCAGCCATAAATGCGTCTGATAAATCAAACGCATTCTCTTCTTGAGATCTCTTTTGTTCTAATTCCTGATAATAACGCAATTTTACCGATAAAGGCTGTTCTCCTGAAGGAGGTTTGTTTGGACTGGACTGCAAATTTTGTGAAAATGGATTTCGCCCTTGTCCTCGTTTTCCAGGCGGCAGCATGTAGTCGAACCTTGCACTGTGATTCTGACTCACAGCTTCAGTGCTACGAATTCCTTCCATTTTTTCCGGTTTTTCTTGACGGTGTTTATTCGTTGGCGGATCTTTGAATTCCATTGACTTGAGAGGTTTTGCTTCCCCGCTCCGCGGCTCGGATGCAGTTGAAACGCGTTTCTGCCGCATGGGGCGCCTCTGGTTTCTTCTAAACGCGTCAGTGCGCGTCAGACTTGAAGCTGATTCTGAACGCATTAAAGAGTTTCCTTTAACATTCTTTTCCTGTAACGAGTTTATGCCTGAAGGAATGACTTCTTTAGCTAATTCAGGAATGTAGTATTCCTCGGAATCTGTTTCACTTGCTGACCCCATGTTGTAAAACGAATCACCACGAGTCTTGGAGTCTTTACCATTTTTGTTTCTCGTTGGTACATCAGGTGTTGCTACTTTACGCTCAACTTCATTTTCAGAAAATTTTTCCCCTTGCGACAGCTTTTTCCACAGATCTGCGGCTAAATCGGCCAATTTACGTTCTCTTCTCGTCTTTTCGGGATCGCTGAGGCGAAAATTCTGGCTTTTTGTTTTCCCTTCTGCCTGCTGAGGAAGTTTTTCGGACACTTTTCGGTGAGGTAGTCTTTCGACTTTCGTCTCAATTACTGACTCTATTCGCTCGTGGATTTCTTCGTCTCTTTGTGAAGCTACTCTGGGAGGAACATTAGGTAGTTTTCGACTTTGTTCAAGTGGTATACCTCTAAGCTGTTCAATTGATAATTGCATGTCTAAATCACCCCTGGAACTTATCCTTCTCTCCGAGTTGTACTTTTCATTTCGATAGTGAATGCCGGGCGATATTTTCCACCTTTCACTTTCCTCTGTTGACATGGTGCGTGCAACCGAAGCATTGCTGCGTAAAATGCTCAGCTCTTTTTCCAGTTTAGCTCTCTCTTCCAGAGCGCACGATAAGCGCTTGGAATATTCGTCCAGCTTTCTATTTTCTTGCTCGACAGAGTTACATAGACTGTCCATGGAAAATACCCTGTCAGCCTTATTTAATCTAGGCCTTTCTCGATAAGGTACTTCTTGATACTTGTTTTCAATTCTATCCATCGGTGGATTTTGGTGGAACACTTCGTCTTTAGGTCTTTCTTGATTAGTCATTTCCTGATGTCCATTTTCAACACTAGTCATTGGTAGGTTTCGGTAAAACATCTCGTCTTCCACACTAGTATCGACTTCATAAGAAGGCAGCTGGCTGGAACTTGAAACTCGGCGAAGCCGCATCGAGTTGAAACAAGCTCTTCGTCTTAAATCTTCATCAGCGCTTGAACGCCGCCGAGTGGAGCCTCTTTCTTTCTGTGCGGCAGCGCTTTCATGAGAGGGTTTTGTGGTATCATCCGGCACTGATATTCTTCCCGCATCGCTATGTCGCCGTTTATCTTGCGTCGTCAACTTTCGTGCTTTGTTTTCGCTTGATGCCCGATGAACTTGAATCTTATGTTTGGTACTTGTGTCTGTTTGTTCAGTATCGGCTTCGAAACCTTTGTTTTCCAAGCCCACATTTTTGCGAGACTCTTTTTTCTTGCTGCTTTTTTTGCTTTTGTGTTTCGGAAGAGGCAGACCGTTATCTGTTCCTTCGGATTTATAGCCTGACTCTAAACTGCTCGTGAACTTCCCAGCGTCTTCAAATAGATTTTCTGTCGATGACATTGTGAATATCACAGTGAAACAAAACTTTCCTTCATCACTTCGTGCAACGGCTGAAAAACAGGAGCTGGTTTTCAAAAAATAATTTTTTTTCTTGAAGAATTATCTCATAAATCATTTAAAAACATAAAACTACGGCTCACTTTTGCAAAAACGTGCGGTTAAACCATTTACCGGTACCTGCTGTCTTTATCGACATCAGCTATTTGGTATTTCACGGTTTAATGTGTATATGCCAAGATTTTGTATACGTCACAAGTTATAATCTGTGATATCAAAGCAAATCAGCCAGTTAAATCAACATATCTTTTTCAGAGAGCCATTTTAGTGCCAGCGTGTCACAACGCAAGACTCTTTCATTGCGCGCCAAAACCATATTGTTCGAGTAATGATAAATATAAAAATAAGATTTTAAGGAAAATTCAGATGTTTTTTTAACCACCTGCTAACCTGAGCAAATAAGGCCTGTCAGGCGATTAAAATTAAAACTCTACTGTAGGTTGTCTTTGTATTTTATTAGAAAAAGTGTAACTATCGTTTCGAAAGCTGGAATCATTGAGCAGTTTCATGCTCAAATTACTTTCCTTTACATGAAAATCCTCTTTAGGTACAGGTTGAATTTGGCCATAATAATCGACGAGCACACCCGAATGAAAGGAAGGAGAAATGGAAAAGGGGAGAAAATTCAGTTTATGGGTAACTGGAGATAGCCACGACAGAAACTATGAAAAACTACTGACAATGGTAATCTCTTCCTCAGAAAGATCTGCCTCCTCTATTTAAATGAAAAACTATGGGACGCGGGCGAACGAGGCGAACTGGGGACTGAGTCAAAAGGAGGCGGTCGCCTTTTCACTCCTTTTCCATCATCCTTCAGTTATGATGGGAAATGCTGGTCATCATGAACGAAGGGATGCTGGGATATGACCAGGATGAACGAAAGAATACCATGTAAGGGCGACGCTTGATTTTAAGTTTGGACGCGAGCCAGAAAAAAAAGACTGGGCCAAGAACATAGAGTAGAGGCTTGCGTTTAACTTTCTCAGTAAATGAAGTAGAAAGTTACATATATAAACGTATTGGACTTGTCCTGTTCGTCTTTTCTTTCTATTAAAAAAGTTCCTGACAGTTTTTGTTTCGAGTCGTGCAATAGGATTTATTGAAAACAGCATTTAATGTTATTTCCCTTGAATTACCCGATGATTTCCGACAATACTAGATCCAGTCTACTCTCGTTCAAAGATATCAAATGCATGTGCTTCGCTGTTGCGCTTTTCGCTCGTTCATCAAAGTACGTAAAATTTTGAGGTGTGACTGAATGCTACATATAAAACAAAACTGGAAGGATTTCTGTAACATGTAATTATGTTACAAACCACTCAACTCAATGAGTTCAATTGAATAAAAGGAGAGGAAAGGGCCACTAAGTCGGGCTTTAGTTCCTTCTTAATCCGATCAATTTATCTCTGCCGTTCCCCCTGTCATTTTAAATGGATACGCACAGCATCCATGTGACTCAAAGGGTGGATTTCTGTTGATTCTCTATTGAAAATATTCACACCCTGAAAATGCAATACATAAGAACACCTCAATCAGGATCAAAATTGTTGTACAATCGATGGACGATTGCGAATTAAATTTGCTTTTTCACTATGCTTTTTAATTACTCCAACAAAAAACATGAGATTAAAAAGTACATTAGTAACATAACGATAAATTTGCAAATGAAACTCATCTTAGGCCATATTCTGTCTGGAAAGCTAGAGACTTTTTTTAAAGAAATAACACCAATTCATCGGGCCAATTAATTTAAGTATTTCTTCACACCTAACGTTGGCTATGATTGGCGTCCTTTGTTGTAAATCTACGTTTCCACCGGCCAAGTCTGACAGGTGCATGTCTTGTTTACAGTTTTGGAAATTACTTCCAACATTGCCAAATAACTCTAAGCTGTTTTACTTTTGTTCTCCTTTAGCAAATTTTTACCAACCGTGATAAAACTTTGGACGCTTTAGTAAGTACATGTGATTCCACGAAGAGAAATTATTTAAATCCATCGTCGATTTGAACTTCACTGGTTGTAAGTTTACGTCTAGTACGGTCGCTATGGTGTCACAGTGATTCTATATTTTCTTCAATGCCAAGATATCGAGATCAACGTAAACTGACATTTTCACCTGGTTGGTAATCAGTTGTTGAAAGCTCCGAGAGCTCACGGTACCTAACAGGGGCTTTGTAACGGTACGAAAAGGTGAGGAGATTAAAAAATATTCACTGAAATATTCAGTGCATCATGACTGACCAGGAACTTGAACTAGATGACACTCAACTCAAGCTTCCACATTTGATATCCCGAGAATCTGAATGTGATCGGCGTTTTGATACTTATAAGGAAGAGGAGATGGTGAACAGATCTGAAGACACCAGTAAACTGAAGGCATTACCTGAACTTGACTTTGGTGTGAAGAAATATGCGAAGGTGGTTACATTTGAAGATGACAAAAAAGTAAGAGAAAATCCTGAAGTTGCAGATTTGGCAGTTTTTAAGTTACCAAAACTTCATCTTTCCGCAGGATCAAATACAGGTCTTCAAACCGGAGAAGAAATTGGAGAAAATCCTCATTTGAATAAAGACGAATTTTACACTTCAGACATTAGAAGAGACACAGAGAACCACCATCCCAAAACAGATGAAGCTAAAAATTTAAATGAAAGTTTTCCGCGATTGCTGAAAAACTACGAATTCCAACGGGATCTTAGATATACACAGTGCTCGCAAAAACTCTCACGCATAAAGTATTCCTATTTTCAAAGGTTCCCTTCGCCTCCGCCTTTAAATAAGAGAGAGAGATTGAAAATGGAATTGGAAAAGATGAAACCGAAAAAAAAGGAAAAAGCCCTCGAGCCGGGGAGCCTGAGAACGAGGGAGGAATACACGAAGATTTTTATATCACTGAAAAAGGTTCAGAAGATGTTTGTGGAAAAGCATCACCTCTCGTGTCGCCCTTTAGCTAATTCTCCGTTTTTTATGGATTGATTGACAGAATGCAGAAATCTCATGTGCAGCCGAGTAAAAATTTACCATTAAATAGAAGAGGGATGCTCCGTCCAGCTACCGTTCAGCAAACACAGCGGTAAAACGTCGGGCATGCGCGAGGGATCAACGTTAACTGCCCGCGCCAATTTCCCGCGGAAAATTTCAAAGGAAACAACAGCTTTCTCGCAAATTAAGCGATAGATGATTGAAATGTTTACAGAAATCTATAAAAGGAAGCAAAAGTAGGTAGTAGGTAGAAAGATAATTCGATACTTTTCAAACAGAAAGCTTATCTAAGTATGGGTATCTTGTTGATTTACCATTCTGTTTAGAGCTTTACCTGAAAAGACCAAAAAGGTTTTACACTTCTAAAACACCGTACCTTACTGGCTTGAGTAGTTGTTTGTTATTCGTGTGAGAAAACTTGGTTCTGACAGGCGTGATAGCCTGAAAGCTTTCTAGAAAGCACACATTATGGATGTTACAAAATCCGCACATGCGCAGATGTTTGATCATGTTCGTTTCAGTGTGAAGCATGCTGACTGAAGATAAACTATCACATGCTGAGCTTTGTGAATTTATTGAAATAAAGTTTCAATAAAAGTTTACTTGTCGCTCTGAAGGCGTCTATTATTTGAAAACTTAAAATATATAAATTAAAAACGATTTTGATCATTTATTCCTAGTAATTAACATGTACAAGTTTCCAGACTAAATATAGATGAAAAACAGGAAACATAGGTGGCACCTATGTGTAAACAATCGAGATCCTGTAAATTGTTCGTTCCCTTGACAACCTACAGTGCAAATCGTGGCCTTTTTTCCAAGACAAATGCACTTAATTTCCTCATTTTAATTTTGTTTTACGCTTGGGATGTGAATGGCGATGCTTAAACGCTTTCATTTTCCTTTGAATCTCAAGTTCCTGTTGATTCATTAGCTCTCGATTTTTATTTTCTGGTGATCGACACGGCTTCAAGGGCGATCCCGGACGCTCAATTGATGGCTCTGTTAGCGAAGGAAAGTAAGAGAATTTTGGCCGAGCAGTATGTTGCAATGAAAGTCCAAAAGAAGAGAGTTTTCGCTTGTCTGTAGACTCGCTCAATTGCCTAGATATTATCCTCGTTTCTCTGATCTGCTTTAACATAGCTTCTTCTCTCAAGAGTCGATCGATTCTGAGCACCTCGTTGGTAAGTTTATTCAAGAAACCACGAGGAATCTCAAAGCTTTCCCGTAAACCTAACGCAGCACTCCAACTTTCCACTGGCCGAGCGTTTCCGGCTGGCTTTAAAGATAGCGAGGGCAAATGGAAATGGGTTCCTCGCTTTTTGTCTGTCCTTGTTTTGATCGCTTTGCCTCGTCCACTCTTACATATGTCGTTTTTTTGAGAAGTTTTGTTTGATGATGAATCTTTCCTCGCGGTTGTTTTAGACGATTCGTTCATGTCCTCAGAAAATTCTATTCGTCGATTCAAGTCCTCTACGTCGGCGCGGATTTCTGCACTATGTCTGTGCTTTTCTTTATTACCTATTGATGGCAGGAAGGGTTGTTCCTTGTTGGCAGAAGTTGAACACAAAGCCATCCCTCTTTCTGACGAAAATCCGGTCTGATAGCTTGCTGTTCAAAGTACGTTTTAATCCTCTGTGAAGAGAAAACACATACCGACAAGTCTTGGTTTACTGTAAGTTAAGTGTCGTAGCAACTCCAACTTTAATTTCTGGCGTATTCTTAGTGTGCTTAACATATGTCACATAGTTTTTACGCGAAAATAATATATGGCAGTTTATGAAACGAACGCAGCAGTCTGCAATTGAACTCCGCGCTCGAATTCATTGCCTTCAGTTGAATTTTATATTTTGCGAGCTTTACATGCAACGTTTTCCGTTTCGTGTGACTATAAACATGTCAAACTACAATGAAATAAATTAGTTCAACCATTACCTCCTGTAGTTTCACCTGCCTCTGACGTTCTAAATCTATAGTTAAGTTCAGTATTCGAATTCAAGTTGTTTACGTTCAGTTTGATCGACTGACAATATTTTTATCAGTTTTAAACTTGAAGACCCAAACACGAACTGTTATCACAGGCTTAAGTCCGCCCTAACATTTCCACACCACCGAACAATTGATTTGTAAATTGGTCGCCTGAAAGCACCGCCTTTTTATAATCCATTTGCATTAAAGAAAGGATAATTCTATCGTCATGAAAAATTTATGAAAGTAATGACAGATTTCACCAAACTAAACCAGTTGAATGTTTTGTTAGATTAAGTCTTCAGCCAGTTTTCTCTTTCATTTGCAAAATGCTTAACCCTAACCATAATATTTACTCTTCGTGAAACATCTTTTCTAATGAAAGCCAGCCATAAGTCTTAATAAAAACAAACGATTTATGTTACGAAAACAAAACGTTTATTCAACGCGGAAAAAAAGCCCTCAAAGTTCTCTGAATATTGCATTTCAAACAGACTGGTGAATTTTGAAGTAAGACATGTATCATTTTCCTAAAAGGGTTAACGATAAAGTGAAATTTCCTCCAGACACACAGTCCTTCAATACGTGACCATTTTTAATTTGAATGAAGAAAACATTTCAATAATTTGCAACGTAAGCCTGTTAATTAAAAACAGAGTTCGCCAGTT